ACTTGGTGCTGTGTTCCCTGGCTTCCTTCCCTCAAATGGGGGAGTGGTCATGTAGCATGGAAGTTGTTTAACCTGTTTCATCCACAACTTTCTTGACTGTAAGAGTAAACACCTGCCCTCTCAGCCCGGAAGTGTCGGGCTGACAAGGTGTGCACGTATAAAGGAACTGAAAAGGAACAAAACAGTCTCCGTGAAGTCCCAGACAGAGGTGGGACATAGGAATTGTTTTTTCCCAGGAACCTTGGACCTCCCAGAACTTCAGCCTGCAGCCTTTGTGTCTCCTTACCAGCCCGGGTTCCTGACACATGAGCCCTTGGATGACACGCAGCTGCAGCACTTGACTGCTCCGTCACATTGCAGCCCAATTCCGTCTTCAGACTGAGCAAGAAGGGCTCATTATCATCATGGTGGAGCTTTTCACTTGAACTGAAACTTAAAATGTGTAGAAGTGGCAATTCATGGAGTTCCTGTGGTGACTGCTGACCCAGGGAAAAACTTCAACTGCTTTATTTTTAATAATAAACTTCTCTTGCCAACTCTGCTTCTTTTCATCTTATAACGAGGATACAATTTTTTTTTTTCTGCATAGCACTGCCTGAAGTAGAGTAAACCTTAGTGATTTATAAAACAGAGAATTGTCATCACAGCCCATTCAGGCTATTTAAACAACAACTATGGTGGTTTATTAACAGTAGAAATTAAATTCCCGCAGTTGTAGAGATCAGAAGTCCAAGCTTAGTGTGCCCGCGATTTGGTGTCTGGTGGGGAGAGGGGGTACAGGGGAGCTCTGAAACAAAGATCACTAACCCCGTTCTCGGGGCTGTGCCCTTGAGACCTGCTCACCCCTCACAGCTCCCACCTCCAAGTAGCCTCACACTGGGGGGTTTGCGATCAGGCATTGAGTCTGCAGCAGCAGCCGACTCAGGAGAGATGGTAAGATTCTGACACCCCTCTGATCCCGATCATCCCACTTCATGGAGGACCAGCTCTCCTCCCCACCGCAGCGCAAGCTGCTGCTCTGTTTTCATGTCAGTGTCATGAAAGTCAACTCCTCAACCATCAAGCTCAAAAGTGCAGTCCAAGGGGCACCATCTTTTTCTTCATCTTTCACATCTTTCAAGGGGAGTAAAAGGCTCTAACCGTTTATACATCCCTGTGTTCCTTATTAAAGAATGTGTTTTTAGCTCAATACATTAAAACTGTAATCATGCAAATTCAGACATAATTTGGGATTAACTCCCAACCCTCCGTAACAGATCCAGCCACATAGCAACCTAACTCCATGTTCTATGCTGTTGGGTTTTTCGGACCCTGCTTATAGCACTAACACGGAGATTGTCTGCTTCACCTAACCCCACACTACCATACCGAGTGCCTTAGGTTCCTGGACACAAGGGACCCAAAGTTAGCTGGAATGAGGACAGGAGCACTAAAAGCTGAAGGGGGACAGGGTAATGAGAACTAAATGGCAACCCAATTATAATCTCTGTGTATGCTTCTATTAATCTTACAATGCAGAAGAAACAGGCTAATAGAATTGAGCTGAAAGCCAGCCAAGGCTGGGAAGGGGGTTATGCAAACTTGACGTGTATTAGCTTCGTTTTGTATGTCAGTTGCTTCTGCAGACTGGCAATCACACAGAAGCACTAAAAAGCTTTCATCATATCAAAATTATCTTCCTGTCTTCACGGCCTGAGTAAAACATTTAAAAAAAAAAAAAGAACCTCATTTAGATGTTAAAATTGTTTTAATAAATTGGTTTCCTCAAATTGTTTTTCAAACTACAAATCTTAACCCACCAGATGTTCATAAACTAAGGAGCCAAGACTTACACAAGATATAACCATCAGAACATGCTGGAATGCAACCCACGGGAAATTGCTGAAACTTGACATGAATTACATTTATCACAGAAGCACACGTGACATGTAAATAGCAATACAAAGAATAACAGGAAAGACTTTTTTTTTTCCCTGTGGGTCATGGCTTTTATTTTTTTTTTCTTTATGACACAGTCCCCTCCCCACCTCCCAGTTCCCTCCCCTCCAGTCTGACAATAGATGTCTTTCATGTACCGTCAGCAGTCCATCACACTGCCACTGAGGTGTCTCCCAACAATGGAGATCACCAGCCATTTCACTGTGAGTCCATCCTCGCACTGCATGCATGGAGACCCACTTCCGTTTCTGCCTATGGACAGATTCATTTCCGCTACACTTCCATCATACATCCCCTTAGGTACAGTCCACCACAGGTTGACAGAAAAAGGTCATGGCTTTTAAAAACCTGACAGATACCGGCCTAGTATACCTTTAACCTACCAGATTGTGAGGTGTTTTTTTAATTTTGATAACAATCAATGTCAATAAACGGTGAGGGGAGAACGGCCGTGTGTGTTCATGGGAATGTATCCTGTTTATTCCTTGCAGAGGATGAGGCTGTCGGCGTAAACATTTTAAATACATATTCATTAAGGATGCTCAAGTAAGGATGGGCAAGTAAGGTATGATGTTTGCATAGACCAGTTATAGTGTTTTGAAGAGAGCTAGCAAAAAATAAAAACCCTACATATCCATTAAAAATGGGAAACTGGGTCCCAGCATAGTAGCCTAGTGGCTAAAGTCCTCACCTTGCATGCACTGGGATCCCATATGAGCACCAGTTCGTGTCCCAACAGCCCCACTTCCCATCCAGATCCCTGCTTGTGGCCTGGGAAACTGGTCAAGGATGGCCAAAAGCCCTGAGACCCTGTACCCATGTGGGAGACCCAGAAGAGGCTCCCAGCTGCTGGGTTTGGATCAGCTCAGCACCAGCCATTGCGGTGGCCTGGGGAATCAATCAATGGATGGGGAATCTTCCTCTGCTTCTGCTCCTCTCTGTACATCTGACTTTCCAATAAAAAATTTTTTTTAAAAAAAAAGGAAACTGGTTAAATAAAGTATAGGACTTCCACAAACTGAAACATTCAATCTATGTCCTACTTACATAGGAAAATTGGGGTGAAACAAGTACAAGTCAACATTCTATGTACTACAGAAAATGATGTAACCCCAAGGAATCAACTCTTCCTCAAAGGTGTTTCTCTGATTGATCTGGGGATGAATTTTACTTAGATTTTTCTTTAATGTCCGATGTTAATACAGCAATTATAAATCTCATTTTCAGTTCAAAGTTCTTTTCATTTGGGGAGATATACTGAATTCCCATAGGAAGTCTTACATGATTCAATCACTAGAGTGAATGTACATGGTCGGTAACATGCACTATGTAATCGTATGTTTTTCACACTGAGTGTCAGGTTAGTGGGAGGTAAAGGAAGCTAGCCTACACCTGAGCACCCCAAGGTGCCTGTGTGCCAGGGCTGGGGGCAAACAGATGCGGAGTGGGTGGCTAGGTTTGTGGTCCTGCGGAACCGGATGCATAAGTGGGCCGAGGATGCGCCAGGAAGTCCTCGGGAGAGCCAGTGTTCCTTGCACGGTCTTGAGAGCACCTTTTGGTTTTTTGTTTTTGTTAAATCTTGGCACTAACCAAGCTCCTCTGCTGTTTGGACTACAACAGAACCCCCTGGAAGTCATACAGAAGGAGTAACACTGCTTCAGTTCTCATTTTTCCCCTTACCAGGATGAAAGCTGCCCAATGATTACATTCTTCTGTTTTTCCCATGTTTCAAAGACAAATATATACTACTATATTAATGATAACACTTATTTCCAGCTTCCTTTTGTAAAGACTTATTTATTTTGAAAGAGAGACAAGGAGAAATCTGTTCACTGGTTCATTGCCTAAATAACCACAGTAGCCAGAGATGGCCCAGGATGACGCCAGGAACACGGATCTCCATCTCAGACTCCCATATGGGCGCCGCAGCCCAAGCAAGAAGCTGGATCGAAAGTGAGGCATCCAGGACTTGAACCAGCTCTCACACGGTACACCAGCAATGCAGTTAGCAGCTTACCATGCTGGTCTCTATTTCCAGTTTCCAACAGGACAATTTGCAAGTGCCATTAGCTGTTTTGAATCAACCAATAAACCACATCATGAGTCTTTTTTCTTTTAAGATTTATTTTTATCACAAAGATACACAGAGAGGAGGAGAGACAGAGAGGAAGATCTTCCACCTGATGATTCACTCCCCAAGTGACCGCAATGGCCGGTGCTACGCCGATCCAAAGCTGGGAGCCAGCTCTCTGGGTCTCCCACGAGGGTGCAGGGTCCCAAAGCTTTGGGCCGTCCTCGACTGCTTTCCCAGGCCACAAGCAGTGAGCTGGATGGGAAGTGAGGCCGCCGGGACTAGAACCGGTGCCTGTATGGGATCCCAGTGCATTCAAGGCAAGGACTTTGAGCCGCTAGGCCACCTCTTAACAGTGTACACAAAACCCCTTTTACATCTGTCTTGTATATATTATGTGTGTGTAAGTATGTACATGCTTATCATGTAGCTTTCAGCTGCATGTTTTTTCCCATCTGGTCTGCCCTTAAACCCCTCACCTTTACAGACTCAGGGGCTCATATTTAACTGTGAACTACTGCACCTCTGTCCCCTTGATCTCACTGTCTGCAGAGCCTATCTGCCACTGGCAGCCCAAGGGCCTCCACTCACCTCCCTCCCCTGACGCTTCCTCCACCCCCTCAGAAGGCCCCTTAGCACCTCCCAAAATGCCTACACAGGGTTCCGTGTTTTAAACACAGTATTATTTAGACTAAAGGAACAGAATTGGTTTTGCTTTTAGAAGAATCATAAATGTCTGTCTTCAATTAGCTAAAAAGGTGTCATTTCATAGTAAAGTTTCACCAGAAGATTTTAGCTCCACATAGAGAAAAATTATTAGAAAGCTTAAAGTGGATGGAAACTTCATACAGCGATTCAGTATCAACCTATCGGAGGTTCTATAATGAACAGTCATGAGCTGGCCTACAGGACCTGTAAGAGTCTTCCAACCCTGAGATTCCATACATCCAAAAGAAAACAAGAATAGAAGCTAGACATTTCACTTCTAATAATTTAAGGGAAGTGAATGACTAAGTGGGAACAAAAGACAAGCATCTTAAGTTGCCCACCAGCCCAATAGAGAGCCAGCCATAGAATAACTTAACCAGTTCATAATCTAAATTGAGGGCCAACACCTAAGGGAACCACCTTATCTCTAAGATCTGAGCACACAGGAGCTACCCTCTGGCAACTTTACCCCGATGTCCATTAACGAAAGCCATGAAGGGAGGTGCAGGCAGGGCACTTCCTGGGTGGTATATGGGACACTGCTTATATTCACAAGGCCAAGTGGCCCAAGCATAGCGAAGAGCAACCACGGAGCCACCACAGGATTTCATATTCAAGGTCAAGGTCCAGTTGGAGAATGTGCTCATGGGAGCTGGAAGCCACTTGCATTGATGGTTACTGCAGCAGGAGATCTGATGAAGACAGAAAACAGTCGGGTCAGGGGACCTTCCAGGCAACTGGGGACTGCCGTTGGAGACACACTGGAAGGGATCGAAGGACCTTCCCGAGGACTCACGTAACTGGAATAAACCTGACCCTGGGTTGATAATGTGATTGGGTAAATAATTTCACTCAATAAATAAATATAACATTTAGTCATTTGGAGAGTAAACCAGTGTGTGCACCACCCCTCCCTCTTGTCTCTCTTCTCTATAAAAATCTGCCTTTCAAATAAAATTTTAAAATCATTTTAAAAAATCCTGTCTCTAAGCTAATGAATAAATAGCTGCTGCTTTCCCCTACCCTCTAGAGAAAGTTCACTCAAGCCTCAGCAGAATGTTGTGGTAGGAGGGACGCCTGGGGGGCTCCTGACCGCCCAGCATAGCAGGAACCACTATTCTGCTCCTCTCACCTGGAATATGTTGTTGTCCTGCCTCTGCAACTGGATTTGCTGGTAATATGTGAGGTTGATCAACTCCTGGCGGGCCAAGAATTCTATCTTCTCAGGTAACGGTCCTTGAAAAATCAAATCCTTCTCGCCATACACCATAGCCCGGGCCCCCAAGTGCAGCCGGTAGGCCACAGTCTGTTTATCTCGAGGATGGACACTGCAAGACAGAGCAGGCAGGGTGCTCTGGGTTTGAGCTTAACAACATCCATACTGATAAAAAACATATATATATATGTATAATGCATACACACACACACATTATGGAAAGCACCCTTCAAGAAGGCAAGAGTAAAACCCACTGGACTATCAACTTAAAAGAAGCAACAGCATAGACAGGACTCTGGGGCTTCTACGGGCTGGATCCTAGAAACAACAGTCGGCTTGGAAGGAAGCAGTAAGTAGAAGCAGAGAAGGTGGGAGGGAAAAGAGATGATGGCATCAACGTAGGTGAGCTAACTCACAAACCATTCCCAGTCCTGCAGTCATGTTTCATCTGATTCCGATGTTCATGATTTGGTCCCCTCCAGCTTGTATTTGTTAACAAATATTGTCAAGTTCCTATTATACTCCAGACAAGCTATGGCAGGCAACATTGCATATCCGAAGTCTCCTGTACGCCATGGCCGTACATGGCACTTGTTGGAGCTGTTAAGAAACACTCCACTCCTCAGGCTAGATGCCCTATTTCCTGCTCTCACTAATGCAGGCCATGGCCAGGTGACAGGGTTTAGCCAATGCAGTGTGTGCAAAAGTGGCTTCGGTTACTCCCAAGGAAAGCATTAAGTGTCAAAATGAGACTTTGGGTAACTCAGAGCCACAGATCCATCTGGAGCTCCTGGGAAGGACCCTGGGAAGGTCTGGGAAGGAACCTGAGCAAAGTCTCTGTGAGTCTTGAGCAAGGAATACACTTTTGTTATATCAAGGCACAGAGCTATGGAGAGGCTACTTGAAATTACAACACATTCCAGGGAAAATGGTAGACACCATGTTTCTAAATCCTAATGCTTGGTCAAAGCTGTCCCCTCAACAAGCAAACACAAAGTAAGGGACTGCAAACACTGGGCACTGTGCAGGCAAAGGCCACCCAGCCACCATACCTGCCATATGGTGAGTTCCGGTCTCCAAGATCGATGGACACAGCCATAAAAGTGTTGGGCATCTTGACGTTGGGGACATAGCCTAAGTCTGCTGTTTGGTGCCAGCGGATGTCAGGAAATCCTTCATCAGGGTTGGGTGCAGGCAAATATGAAGACAACTAGGAAGTAAGATGTCACTGCATTAGTACCCTGCACTGGAGTTTTCACTTGCACACTTTGCTTCTGCCTCACCCATTTGATCAAAGGTTCACTCAACAAGCATTTACCAAGCCCATTACTATTCAGATTCTGTGCTAACATGGAGCACCCAGCTACCTCTTTCGGTGTCCTTTCACAGTGCAGCTTTGCCACACCCGTCCTCAAGAGGCAGGCTCTGTCCTCCCACTGATTGCAGGCCAACACCAGAAAGTGCTGTGTTGGGTGTGTCCCAGTTAGCTATGTAACAAACCACAATACCCATGGCTTAAAGTAACCATTATTATTACAACCCCATGGTTTGTTCCAAAGAACGCTGTGCTCCCTCCGCCTTCACCTTGCCTTCTGCTTTCCTCCTCGTGGAACGTGCACAGACCATGTCAACACAGGTCCCACTACCTCCCTACAGAGAGGTCTTGAAAATGGAAAGATCACAGAGAGAGGCTCTCGGGTGCCAGCAGTCCCCATGAAGGGGCCAGGCATGTGAAACCTGCTCCTCTCTTCAAATCACAGCCTCACGAGCAAGCACAAAGAGCACAGGTGAACCAACCCAGATGAGCCCTGCTACTCAACACACACAAGCAGCAAGGAGTGTGCAGCAAGCTATATGCAGGATCCCAACTCTCCATTCACCTTGCCATGTGGCTCTGTAGTTCCTCCAAAGAAGAAAATGCCCAACCCCTGATTCTGCTCTCAGCCACGTGGTTTCCTGCTCATGGAAGCAGCTGTGTTATGTCTCTTGCATCCCTAGCTGCCAAAGACCTTATTTAGAACATTGGTATTTTCACGTACCATTAGAGCCGCCTGTCTAGCCCACTCAGCCCAAACCCCAAGTGGAGGCAGCAGAGCCTCCTCTGGCACAGATAAGTAGAAGACCCCAGCACAGCCCACAGCACCTAGTGCCCAGATCCCCAGACAGGGGAGCTAAAAATGGCACAAAATGGTTATTTTATATCGTAGGTAATGTAGCCTTTTACATAGTGGTTGCTAACTGGGAAAGGTACTTCACAACTTTGTTTTGGGACAGATCTGCATGCAAGACATAAAAAACAGGGGCTGGCAATGTGTCATCGTGGGTGAGCCACCACCTGTGACCTGGCATCCCATGTGGGTGCCTGTGTAAGTCACAGCTGCTCCCTTCCCAATCCAGCCCCCCACTTATGGCCTGGAGAACGCAACAGAAGATGGGCCAGGTGCCTGGGCCCTTGCCATCCACGTGAGAGAGCAGGAAAACGCTCCTGGTTCCCAGCCCACTACTCCTTCCCTACTTTCCTGATGTTGACGTCACCCTCTTCTTTGACTCACACTTTATTCTTAGCCCTAGTTCCATCCAATGAGCATCAGCCTGTTATCTCTTCTTTACAAGCCATGTTCCAGCAGTAAGTCAGATTACAAACTTGGGCAGGCCTGGGTTTTGATCCACTTCCCAAAGTCAAGCCCTACCTGAGGAGCCGCAGACAGTCTGACTGCTCGCACCTGACGTCATCCCTACAAAGAAAGCCTAAATCAACGGTGCTTTCCACTTCTCCACTTACTCCAGAAAAACTAGAAACAATCTGCGCATTACAGAGAGGGAGCTTGTGGGAGCTTGTGGTAACAGCAGAAAGGAGCCTTGGCTATAATACGGAACTAAGAGGACATTTCCAACTCCTACTGGAAATTTCCAGTGCAAACCAGTCCTACCGTGTGACACTGTAAAAGGTGCTATGGCTACCCTATGGCATCTCAGGAAAACCAGTGGTTAGAAACAAAAAGAAACAGAGAGATACCCCCACATCTCCCACACAACACCCAGGTGGCCAAGAGAACCAGGCTCACCAATGGGGTAACGATATGGAACATAGACACAGAGCCACCGGAGAACCTAGGGCTGAGTACGGGGCTGAAGCTCAGCAAAGAGAAATTCAGTTAACAGTCCCTCCCACCAAGGGAAGCTTTTCAAAATGGCAGTTTGCTGAGAATTCCTGCAGCCATTTATTTGACCTGCACTATTACTTACTGGACACAAGGGGGCACCAGCACACCCCATACCCAAATAAAAATTCCTACCATTTTTTTCTAATCTGAGATACAGCTAGAGGAAGTCTCCTACGATGATTAATAAAAATACTGCAATTAATGAAGGCACAGATCAACTAAGGAATATAAAACCCAGCTACATTCAGGAAATTTTGCAAACATCTTGCAGTTGGTAGTCTGTGCCACTGTTTCCTCAAACTCCTGTTTGAAACATACACTCCTGGGGTGAGCATGGGACCTAAGGGGTCCTGTGCCCAGCGTCTGGGTGGGGTCCCCAGCTCCAGCTCCTGGCAGTGCAGGCCCCAGGAGGCAGCAGGCAATGACTCAAATGACTGGGTTCCTGCCACCCATGTGGAAGACGTCTTGGCTTGCTCCACATGCAGTCCTGTTATGGGGCATCTAGTGAGTGATTCGTAGTTGCTAGTGCACGCTCCCCTCCGCCTTTGCCTCTCAAATAATTTTTTAAAAAGAAAAAGCATACTTCTCCCATCTTGTCTCCCATGCTTCTGGTCACCTCCCTACCAACAGCTCTGAACCACATCGCCGGCCTTTCCGCAGAGTTCAAGTCCAATCTCTGACTGTGCCCTGCTTATTGCAAAGCATCATTTCAAACCTAATGTTTTCCCTTTTTAAAATATTTACTCATTTATTCATTTGTGAGCCAGGGTTACAGAAAGAGGAAGAGATACAGAGATTCTCTATTCACTGGCTTACTCCCTAGATTATCACAATGACCAGGGTTGTGGTGGCACAAGCCAAACGCCAACAGCTTCCCCCAGGTCTCCAGGTCTTCCATGTGGGTGACAGGGGACGAAGTACTTGGGCCATCTTCTACAGCCTTTCCCAGACCATGAGCAGGGATGTGAATCAGAAATGGGCAGACAGGATCCAGACCAGTGTCCACATGGGATGCCAACATTACAGGCTTTGCAAAGCCACAATGCCAGCCCCCAACCCAACACTTCTTCAAAGCCACTTCATCTTGCCTCACAAACCACTCATCTCTCCAGATTTTCTGATTTCTCTCATTTATAATAACAAATACTAACATTATCTGGCATGTGCAAGACTACATGGAGTTGTACCACTAATACTTAAACCAACAAGGAAATGTGGTGCCATGTTCAAAACCACATAGCTCAGGAAGTGTCTGAACCAGGCAGTCTCGTTCCACGTGCACACTCTGACCCATTCTGTCATCACAATGGATAGCTCCCTCGCAAGGGAGATTTATACTTCCAGGCTTCCATAAGGAACAAGCATATTTTTGTTAGATATTATAAAGTTAAGGCCCAGAACTTATCAACTATGGCCTTGCTGATAGGCCCTAAATCCTAGTACCTCATACAGCGGATGGTACAGACAAGAGCATGCAGGTACACTCCCACAGAGCGCCTGCATTGTGACACAGCCAGTTAACCCACACGTGCAATACCAGCACCCCGTAGGAGCAAGGTCTAGAATCCCAACTGCTCCCCCTCCAGTCCTGCCCCCTGCTAATATGCTGAAAAGGCAGCGGGAGCTGGCCTGAGTGCTTAGACCTGGCTGGAGTGCAGCCTCCTGGGTTCAGTCTGACCCAGACCTAGCAGTTGTGGCCGTTTGTGGAGTGAACCAGAAGATCCTTCTCTAGCCATCTAATCTCTAACTCTCCCTCTCTCTCTGTAACTCAACTTTTCAAATAAATGATCTTAAAAAATAAAACGTAAGAAAAACAGAAACATAGTCACCACTCTGGGTTTGAACTGGCTGAAGTCACATTCAGATCACCGCCTACATAGGCAAAGTGGGAACAGAGTAAAAACACAAAAGTGGTGACAGGGAGCTGCGATTTTGAAAATAATGAGCAGAATGATCTTGTTTTAAAGTCAAAACAAATGTAAGATGGGATCATAAAGGCATTTCCAATGGAAAAAGGAAATCTATAAACATCTTTATTCAAAAATAAGGTTGTGGTGAAGTAGCACGGGGAAACGGGAGCGGGACAGGCAGGAGGCGTCTGGGGGCGTGCCGAGGCCGGCGTCTGCAACAACGCACAGCCCGCTCAACACTGACTGCCCTGCAGCTCTGCTCTAAATGTCTAGTCCTAGTTCATTGCTCTAGTTCAGAAAATTCCCTCAAAACTCCCCAGAACTCCCCAAAAATGTCTAGTGCCTAGGAAGACCAGATGAACAGGAGGAAGCAAGGCAGTTAGGAACATGGTCAAATATGTTCACTCCTTTGATGCAGGGCTAAGAACAGAGCCTTTTTTTTCCCCCAATGACTTCATGTACGGTTTGAAAAAAATATATATATATAACATTAAGCCATTGTATGAGGGCTGGTCACCAGTGTGGTACCAGGGATATAAATGTGATAGAGAAAAAGCACCTGGCCATGTGCAACACCTATGTGAAAGTAAAACAGGGAAGTGGGAGGTGGAAGAAAGACCATTCCCTGGGGGAACAAGGCACCTGACCTAAACTTGGAAGAGCAGCAAGAAGTCTCTTAACTAACACCCAGGCTGAGAGATGACTGGACAGTCTAAGAGAGGGCCTTGCCCAGAGGGAGAGCGAGAATGTAGCACACATCCTAGTGACTGCAAGAAATATCAGCAAGTGAGGGAGGCTGTGAGGAAGTGGACTTCTTTGCAGACAGTTGCCAAGTTGACAAACTTAAGTCCATAAAATTCTACAGAAATGGCTGGCTCAAAAGCTTTATAAAGGTATGGTTTTTTGCTCTAGAAACTTCATTCCTAGAAACTTCTGGAACTAATTAAAGCATATGTATAATGACTTAGCTACAAAAAAAAATATAAACACACTATACTTGTAAAAACAAAACATTTAAAACAACCATGTATTCAGAACTAGCTAATTATAGCACAACCATATTTCAGAAAAACTCTGTCATTATTATAAATTGTGTTGAAGATTAGTATTTAGTGACATGACAAATATTTACAACGTGATTTTTTTTAAAGTAAGAAAAGGTACAGTATTATGGTATAGATCTTTTTTCAAACACATATAAGCAGAAAAGGGCTGTTTGCTTCTGGACTGTAAAATTAACCATGTTTTTGCTTTTTGGAGTTTTTTTCATATTTTCTTAGATATTTTTCCAAGAAATTATAACATTTTAAATTAGAAGTATCAGGACGAGCATGGTGGCACAGCAAATACAGAAGCTGCCTCTTAATGCTGGTGTCCCACCGTACTTGGAGCCTCAGCTGCCACACTTCCAACACAGCCCCCTGCTAAACCTGAGAAAAGCATCAGAAGATGGTCCAAGTGCTTGGGCCCCAGGACCCACGTGGCAACACCTGGAAGAGGCTCCTGGCCTGATCCAGCACTGGCTGTTGCAGCCATCTGGGAAGTAAACAAGTAAATGGAATTTCTCTCAATGTCTCCGACTTTCAAATAAATAAATAATTGTTTTTTTAAAAATTACAAGAAGCTATTCTTAAGCATTTTCTTGAAAATTCACCTCTGGGGTCGCTGAGCTGAGATGAACGAAACCTTGCATTCCACTGCTGACCAGCACATCGTGAGGACACAAAGTACCCTGACGGATGCTGGTCATTTCTCCCCCTCGGCACACATACCTGAACAAACCCAAATGGGAAGAAACGCTCCGTCTGCCCCTGTGAGCCTTGATGGAAGCTATGGCGCCAGTCTTCAATGAGCTCAGGGAACGTGCAATTGTACAGGTCCTTGTTATAATTCATGTTGGATTCCCCTAAAAATAGCCAACACTGTGAGAGGGGTTTGAACAGACTGAGATAGAGGCCACACCTTGCCCCCTCCCTGCATCCACGCCCTGATGCACACTTCCCACACTCCTTCTCAACTGGCTCATCACACATCAATAAACACGATGCCAGCGGAGGCTTGGAAAAGTGCTTCGACTCTGTGCCTTCTCCCTCTCTCTTTCGCTCTCCCTCTCTCTCTCAATACCCTTGGAACCCTGGGAGTGCCATGTCAACAGCAACTGAGTTCTAACCAGCTTGTAGAAGGATGAGAGGCCACATGAGAACTTTGGTCCCTACTAAACAGCCATAGCTCATTCCTGCCATCCAAACACCAGACAACCCACCAGGTGGCTAAGACATGTACGTGGTCCCAAGTGATATCTAACCTAGAAAGAAAAACTACCTGGCTAAATATAGAAGGGTAAGATAAATAAAATGATAGTGGTTTCAACCACTAAGTTCTACAACGGTTTCTTATGCAATTCAAGCTAACTGATACAATGAAGACACAGCAGGTGGCACGCTCACCCTGGTACCATATCACTCCTTTCAAGGTCATATTACATAGTGGATGAACCATGGCATTCCAGAGAACGGAGTGCTGTGCAGGACCAGACACAGTGTCCGGTGGGACATACCTGAAAACAGTAAGATGCAAAAGTATCACAAGAAAGCCAATCACAGATCAAATAAAGATCTCTTAAGCTAGGTGTCTACCCACCCCAGGTTCTTGCCCGCTAAGCCTAAGCGCCAGCTTCCTGGGAGTTCAGAATGGACCAGTTCAGTTCCCAGAGAAGGTAGTCAAGGCTGGGGGAAGGGGGGGTTTACTCTCAGTCTCCTCAACAGGTGATAAATTCGATTCACTCAGAATCGAGGGATGATCACTTCAACTGCTTTATTAAACTTCCGTATTTTTAAGCAACAAACACACGTTTACTTTTCTACAATAAATTCCCAGAAAAGAAACTGCTGAGTCAAAAAGCATAAAATCCTGAATATGTCCCCAGATGGGTGACTTTACTCTCCAGGCAGTGGTGGAAAGAACACCCACATCATGATGCAAGTGCAGTAGCTCATCAGGCTAATCCTCTGCCTACAGCATCGACATCCCAAGTGGGAGATAATTTGTGTTTTAACAGCTCCATCTCCCTGCTTATGACCTGAGACAGAGCAGAAGTGGCTCAAATCCTCAGGCCCTTGTACCCTTGTGGCAGACCCAGAGGAGGCTCCTGGCTTCAGAGCGGCTCAGCATTTCTACTGCTCCTCCCAGGCCATTTGCAGCTAGCTGGGTCAGAAGCGAAGCAGCCAGGATAAGTGGCTTGAGCTGGCTAGGCCATCATGCCAGCCCCATCTACTATCATTTACTGTCACTTTTCATGACCTTTTGGAAGTGCCCTCACACTCAACTCCCCGTGGAAGACCAGGGTCCCCATCCCAGCAGGCTTCCCTCCAGCCTGGAGATTGTGTCCTTACCCTTTCTTAGGGACGTTACAGGCTTTCAGCACCCTTGCAGATGACCATGCTTCAATGGGGGTTCCACCCCAAACGGAAGAGATGAGCCCCACAGGGTACTGCAGAGTGTCATACAGGTAGCGCCCATAGAGCCAGCATACTGCTGACATGTACGTGAAGTTGCCATGGCCCAAGTTTCCTGTTCAGAGAAAGAGTTAAAGAAAAGGAATCAGGGGAGAAGCAAATGGACACAAACTGGCAGCAACTAGACAGGTGTGGGTGAAGGGCAGGTGTGGCTCCTCCCTGAGGCTCCTAAGACTCCTCACGAATAGGCTAACAGGGAAAGGCAATGAGAAGCAACAGCCTCAAGACCAAGCAACTCTTTCATATTTTCCCTAATAAGAAAATTTCCCAATTGGGGAAAATTATAGTCCTGGGAAGAGTTTTGTTCTAAATGGTATCATTATTTCCTGTAGTGCTGAAAAGGCTGGGACAGAGGAAAATGGTCAACTGAGTAAAAAAATAATCCATGTACATAATTAGAGAGCTAAAACTCACTAGGCAAGCTCCTCCCTCCTCCCTTCCCGGTACTATAAAATTCCAGGAATGTTAACACCTTTTCTCAATAAACTAGTGGTGCGAAGACCACCAGTTCCTACGCTAGCCACTGCCCTACCTCTCATCTTCCCCACCACTCGCTACCACTTAGTTCTGTGGGTGGCCCTAAGCAAGCAGCCAACAGCTTGAAAAGAAATGTGTACCTTTTTCACATGTGATTTTCAAATCCAATTTTATAGCCATAGCAATTCAAACATGGACAGATTACATGAAGTTTCACCAAATGGAAAGCAATAGAAACTTAAAGCAGTGTTTAACTTTTCATCCATGACTAACTCCTCCCAGTAGCCAGTGTAGGAATTTCCATAAGAGAAGAAAGCTTAGGAAGAGGAATAGGCACACATTCAGCAGATGGAAGTAACTTAACCTACTTATTAAAACATACCAGACAGAAGCCACCGGCATGGCACCCTGAAAGGTCCAACCTAGTATAATTCTGGCCCACAGAAGTGGATAGTGTAATAGCAGAAGCTCCACCGATCTCAAAGAAATTAAAATTGATTAGCTACTACAGGTCAGGGACTATTGGATGGAAAAGATACAAGAAAGGGACATGGAGAGACATGGAAGCTCTCTAGAGTTCACAGAATGATAAAGCAGTTAGTTGAATAAAGCGTATGGCAAAGTGAAAATATATCAATGGTGAAATACAGTAAGTGCCCTAATAGGTATAAGCACATATGAAAGGGTTTTAACACTAAAGGAGGAATATCAAATTAGAGGCAGATCAAGGCAAAACCCAATAAAGACTGCACTCTCCCCAAGGCTTCCCAAACGTCTATGCATGGCTCCAGCATCACACTTCACAGTACCAACCTGCTTAGTGTTTCCCACCCCCGTCCACTGTCAGTTGCCTGAGGGGAGGGCCTTTACCTGGCTTGCTCCCGCATCCTCCATGTCTAGAACACATGGAGAATTCGCAAAGGTGTGTGCACTGTCTGCAATAAGCCAGTATAGAGGTTCATTAATAGGCAGGTAGAGAGGGAAGGTTAAGAGGAAGGAAAAGAACCACCACCTATCCTCCATCTTCAAGTGCCAGCATCCCATATGGGCACCAGTTCATATCCCAGCTGCTCTGCTTCCCATCCAGCTCCCTGCTTATGACCTGGGAAAGCAGCCAAGGACAGCCCAAAGCCTGGGGACCCTGCACCCACATGAAAGACCCAGAAGAAGCTTCTGGCTCCTGGCTTCGGATAAGCTCAGCTTTGGCTGTTGTAACCATTTGGGGAGTGAGCAACATGCATATGACCTTTGTCTCTCCTCTCCTCTCCTCTCCTCTCCTCTCCTCTCCTCTCCTCTCCTCTCCTCTCCTCTCCTCTCCTCTCTTCTCCTCTCTGTAAATTTGCCTTTCAAATAAAAATACATTCTTAAAAAAAGACAAAGGAAAACAGAAAACGAAAGATCTTGAAGGAAAGACAAGAGTTTAATAAGTAGAACTGGCATTCTAGGAAGAAAAAAATTTAAAAAGTCACAGAGAACAGAAATATTCCATTTGCCTAGGGCTGGAACTATGAAAGGAGAATGATGGAAGATAAGATTGCAAAGCAGGCTAGATATACATACTGAAGTCAAGAAAATGGAAAGATACTTGCAGATGCAAAATGTGAGGCAGGCAGAATGACAAGTCCCTAAAGATGTTCATGGCCTAATCCCTGGGGCATGAGAGGCCATTACCTTACATGGCTACAGGGACTCTGGAAGTGCGATTAGGATAAGGGCCTGGCAGGACAGCATCCTGGATCAGCTGGGTAGGTCCGATCTACAGACACAAATCCTAACGTGGGGAAACCCTTCCAGCTTCAGTGGGAGACAGCTTGACAGCTGAGGTGGGAGAGACTTGCCACCTCTCCACACTCGTGCCAGATACCTGCATCTGCATGACCTACCTCTTCCAAGTAATGACCACAATGTCCTTCTCAGGTGGGACATCCCTGACCCTCTGAATTGCAACTGCGACTTCATCACAGCCTGACACAGCCTAGTGTCTCCCTCCCCTACTTTATGTATTGATTTGTCTCTCTAGCACACACCACCTATGATGTTCAAATCCATTAGGTTTCTGGGTTCAAAGAATAAAAGGGAGTTTATATTAAACATATATGCATAATATATTATCCAAATCTGACTGAGCCATATTTTAGAAAATACATTGGGAAGAGATCATAGAGCAAAGAATTCACCCAAAAACATGTCTGGGTTTATTCTCTTATAAGGAGAAATCAGAAGAGTGTGGAACTGGACAGCATCAGATACCCCATATATAATTTACTAATTTTATTGCTTTTTTTCTGTATTCCTTAACACTGAACTAAGTTCCAGGAGATCAAGAGATCTTTCTTGTTTCATTCACTGCTACAACTTCAGCACTTAAAATGCTGGACAGCACACAGCAGGTATTCCAATATTTAATGAACAAATTAACACTGGAATTGCAAGAGCAACTGAATTCACCAACAGAAAGCACGTACAGATAGTCAAGGCCCAGAAAGAATATGGGGACCACATCTGAATTAAGGGATCGAGGAAACAGAGAGATAAAACAGTGAGAAAATGAGGCATCAGAAGAACCACACAGGAGGAGCCTGTGGTTTCCCAAAGGGCTGGTCTTCGGGACTGCACACTGCAGAGGTCTCCAGAGCTCCCAGCTAGAACAGCAGCAACCTTGAAGTACATAACTGCTGAGGTGCAAACCAAAACCAGATTACAAAGGGTACTGTTGATGACATGTGGTAAGACGGCAAGAAGAACGCAAACAAAAGATGTTCCCCAAAAGTTTAACAAAGCAAAGGGGACAATCTGAAGCCTTGTGAGAAGGCCACGGGTTATGTTTAGCTCTGAAAGCACGATGCATCTGTCTTAGTCATAGCTGTATCCTTGGGGATGGCACGGGTCCCAACGCTGAGTGGTTGTGAAATAAAGATCTGTGCTCTGTGGATAAAGGAGGAAAGAACAGACCCTGAGATATAAAAGAAGAGATGGTAAGGCATTGAAAGTGCTGGGGCTGGAACAGTTCACAGGGAAGTACTTCAGCAATGTCACTCAGGTTGAAGGAAGGGCCATTCCCTTGTAGCAAAAGGAAAGGTTCATCAGGGGAGCCACGGGAGGGAACACATAAAGCAGGAATGGGATGAAGACTCGATAAAAAATGAATGAAAGGGCTATTAGTAACAATAAACAGCCAAGAACAAAAGTCAAGCTTGCAGATTGCACTTCGGAAGCTAGCGCGTTACATATGCATTGGCACACATCTAGGAAGTCACGCACCTGAGGTGGGTGTAGACCACGGCAACTCAATCCCAGGAAGATCCTCCAGTTCCTCCTCCGCTTCGACCAGAGACACAGACATGATGCGGACAGACTGGTAGGCAGCCACGTTGGACAACTCCTTCGTAGCATTAAATATCTATAAGAGGAATTCAAATGTCATCAGCCTAGTGGATGGTGAACTAGCCCGCTGCCTCTGAGGAAATGCCAACAGCCTGTGGGGCGCCTTCTGTGTCTCGCATATAACGAGATCAAATGAATATCCACAGTCAGTAAAGGGCTGCACTGAATCATCTCAACCTGTGCAGCCACAGAGCCACATTCCCTGATGAGTCATGTACTCAAGGACCACAGGAAGATAACAAACTGTGATCTTACCAAGCAGGTCTGCTTAAACAAGAGCGGCTGTGGGTTTAAGCTAAAGAAATCGCCTATCAGTCAGACCACTGTGATATCATGAAACTCAAATGTCGTGAACTCTGAAAAAGAGTCTCAGAGAACAAAGTCACAGCAGTGAACTTTCTGCAAAATGGTGCCTACAGGAGCAGGTCTGGGTAACCCACACCACACAACACAAGTGTATTCAAAAATCACACCTGAGCTGGGATGATGGAACCAATACAAGACGGTGCGATCAGTCCCAACAGGCTCCCATGCTCATCTCGGACCTGGAATTCCACCTAATAACAGCACGGTTTGCACACCCAGAGTAAAAGGTGGTATTCATGATCACCAGTTTAGGATAGTCCTGAGGCCTTCAGCAAAGAAAAGTGTCCATCCAACGACAGATCGCATTTCCCCCAGATGACCTGCAGAAGGCTCACCACGCCAGCAGCGTGGCAGGACTGGCTCACAGGCTTCTCCGGTTAGAACTGTATGTGCTTTGGGGTGGGGTATCTTTGTGCACTCTATTCAGCCTCAGTTGCCAATGAACTTATTACACACAAGTGCTATTTTCTACAGTCCTGGTTTGTCATGTGTTCTTCTGTTTTTAAATGGATAGGAATTACCTTGCTTAGCTTTTTGGTGTGTGTGTGTGTGTGTGTGTGTGTGTGTGTACTCCTGACTCCTCTCTGTCCCCCTCCAGCCTTTTCCAGCTTCTGCCAAAACAAAGGCCTCGCAGGAGCCTCGAGAAGCCCAGCTAGTTACCGCTCGCCTCAGGGAACAAGCATTCCAGCTGAGCCGGCTGCCACAGGGAGAGGCACAGGAGGATGGGACACTTTCCATTGGCCCCTCGCCATGGAGTGTGCAGCTGGCCCGCTCTCCCTCCCACCCACCGCAGAGAAAACGGCTGGCCCTCCAGCCCACAGCAAGCAAGAGGAAGGTGGGGGCAGCCAGGGTGCCCTGCAGAGCGTGAAACTGAAATGCTGCCCCTTGAATCTTCTGCACACTGGGCCTGCTGCAGCCAGTGAGACAGCCAGATGCAAATGAAATGGCTCTCCAGGGCCCAGGGGCAGCCACAGCCTGAAACCCTCCCTGAGTGACAACTGCTCTTTGTTGAGGTTACTTCTTTTCCAGACAAAGATTACATGGTCTCGGGAAAATTCCATAGGAAATCCAGACCTGTTCCTTCAGGAGCTTGCTTGGTGAGCGACGTGTGAAATAAACCCTGAAGAGTATAAACAGCCTGGTGCACGCACAGTGTTTCCTGGCAGGGAAACTATTTTTCGGCTGCAAGTACCTGTCAAAAGTCACCTCCCTTGAAATGCAGTCCTGCGCTTAGCACCAAGGATCGTGTGTTGCTTCCATGGAAACGGGATGAAACTGCTCCCATTCTCTCCACCCACACAAGCTTCCGCACCGACTGGGAGCTCAAGTGCCTCATGGCACGAAGATGCCAGCTTGGGGAGGCAGTCTGGGAGAAGAACATGCTAGTTGTCATTTAGATCCATTGCTAACACTGCAGAGTACTGCCGGGCCAATGAAGTCCAGGGGGCTGGCATTCTCCCATGCTGTTACCAGCACATGGGACTGGATCCGAAATACTGCCTGGAAAACAGCCATTGCAAACACACACATTTGAGCATTGCTTTAAGCCAAAATTTGAAAGCCACAGAAGTGTTCGCAAAAACAAGGGAGGGGACAGATTCCTGCCATCTCTGCTGACGATGACCTCTGAAATTGATTCCCCGCTCCCTGAATCCCGAGGCCTTCCTGATGGAAGCATTATCCCCGGGGATACTGGCAGCAAATTTAGGAATAAAGAGATTTCAGGAAGATTTTCATTTAAATGACACTTGGTTTCCCCACTGATGAAAAGGGAAGCCTTACTCCATCTGCTGAGATCAGATTTCATCTCATCAAACACCTCAGCGTAATTATTTTTCTCCCAAGTATTTAAATCAGGATGTAAATGACTACCAAGGTATTTGAAGTCATGAATGCCGTGGAAGCTGAGTGAGCCCACAGCTGCCCCTCCTGGGACCAGACCCCTTCACCATCAGAGCAGCTGCTCACTGGTGTTCATTTTGTAACCTTCTACCACATTCTTGAATTAATGAAAACAGGACAGGAATCTTTCTCAGAGAAGCTCAGCATGGGTCTGCATGGGGCTGCAAGGCATGTGTGAGCATGTGTGTGCACGTGTGTGCATGTGCTGAAGGACCTGGAGAAACCTGACTTACTAAAAGGCATCTGGGTTAGCTGCAAGTTACTTCACCTTCTACTATGGATCTAGCACAGGCTCTGAGGATAAGGCAATAACAGTAAAGAAACCAGCCATCCTAGGTCCCGTGACTCTCCTACTGTAAGATGATGGTACCAGTCGCCTTCTGGATTTTAATTTCTCTGCTTGTCAGGTGGGAAGGTGGGAAGGTGGGAAGGGCGGAGACATTTAAAAATGGCTTTCCTGCTCAACACTGGCTGCCTTTCACTGAACCTCAGTAGAGATACCCAAATCTTAAGACCCACCCTGACTTACGAGGCGACAGATGAACATTTAGACTTTTCTCCACTTACAAACATCTCACTCGGTGTTATAAATAACATTCAATTTTAAAATTCCACTTTACCCTAACAACAAGATGGGCATGCAATCTGCCATTTCCTTCTCTGACTGTGAGGAGTGGTAGGTTATAGTGGAACTCGAATCTACCCTGAGAAGTCACGGTGAGGGAGGAAAGACGAGAGACCAGTATGAATGTGTGCATGCGTGCGTGCTGGGAATCTATAAGGAGAATGGAGCAAAAGTAATAAGTGGGAAGTCATGTTGAACATCCAGCTAATCAAAAAACAAGGTTCTATAGACTGCTAACCGACCAAAAAATTCTGGCTGTTTGCCACTGTCAGCACCTAAAATTTTGTCATGCAAACTAAGCACATGATTTAAAAAGTATATATGTCACACTTGGCTGCCTCTGTTTTCTTCTTGCCCTGTATCCCAGAGCTTGTAGCACCTACATCACAGAGAAGATGCTCAGGAGTAAATGCTAGGCAGAAAGAATGTGTTTATGCTGCATCCAAATCTGCTTTAGCTTGACAGAAAGTGGGACGGGCTCCGCTGGCACAGAATGCGATTGAAAAAGTGACTGTGTAGATGCAAACAGATCTGGTCCATGGCTTTCTGTGCAAACAGGGAACTATAATTAAGACATTAAGGAAAGTACTGTTTTCCTTAATGAATTAACAGCAACTCCACTTCTATACCAAACCATGCGTCTATCAAGAGGTAAAGCTTCAATTTTGCTTCTACTCACTTATGCTATGAAAGCCTCGTCAAAATTCAGTTAAACAAACATTTCAATCCCCAAAGCTTCCATATACATTTAAGTAAGGTGAAAAATAGACGGTAATAAAATACAAGTTATAAGAGACAAAAATTACCAGCATTTAGATTGTGAACTGAAAAATTAAAAAGCAGACCCAGTAGGATCATTTTTGCAGCATTATTTGGTAATGTGGGGATTTTTGTCTTGTTTTGTTTTGGTGATATGCTTTTAAAAGGAAAAAGGATAATACACTATAATGAACAGAAGCTATAGAAGCAAAATAGGAAACCCTAAGTTTGTAAAGGAGTCAATTTTACAAATCTTTCAAAAAGACAAATGAACTGAGACCACAGTCTACTTATAGAGATTTGAAAGTATCAAATCTAAATAAATCCCCAAAACAGTGAAAACTAATTTAAAAAGCACAAATCAACTTGGGAAGGAAACACTTTTGGAGAAAGAGCTAGGGAAAACAATAAGTTTTCTACTTTCTTAACCTAATAAAGGAAATGTGTCAGAATATACGACAGCATCAGAGAAGTTAATAGCTGGATCTAATCAACGACTTGCCTCTCAAAGCTGTTAGATCAAATTAATTACAAGTAAAGCCCAGAACAGTCCTTGAGCACAAGAAGTACCCAACAAACAGAAACAGCTCTCCTCTTCCGCTTCTCCTCCTCATTATCGTCAACATTATTTATTATTGCTGTGACTCCACAAATTACCTGTGAAACTGTCATCTCCATATTACTCTGTCCACTGCAAAGCCAGACATCTCCGAAGAGGACAGAGTGAACTCTCAGAGTGGAATTCGCGCTCCCCAGAGTCTGCTGAGCCAGCACTTCAAAAGGTCCACCGGGTTTCATAGGATCCAGTACCACCAGCCAGGTATTACTAGATTGCGCTGAAATAATAACAGAGCTCCAAGGAATTAACAATCAAGTAATTACATGAAATTAAAGCCCCAATGACACTCATTTGTGTCTATTCCCAGTCTCTAAAATAAACTGAATTCAAAGCTAGAAAGATTGGCCAAATTTCAGACAAGATGACGAGAACTGACAAGTGTAGCAGCATTTTTATCCTTAATCTGCACCAATCCTTCACTATTTTTAACAGAAGCAATTTCTAAAAAAACATTAAGAAAAAGATTACCCAGTTTTAATCTAAAACGAGAATAGACAAAAATATACACAGATTAAAATCCAAGGGAGTTTGGAAAAAAACAAAAAATAGAAATTCTTGTTATACTTTCCAACTGTCAATATTAACATAAGCTAATCTCTTGGATTTACACAGTGCCCCAAACTAACTTGCAACCACACAATCACAGGTAAGCACAAGTTGGAGAAAAATCACTAGCAATCCCAAACCTCCCCTTACTTGGTGGCATCACCCTTGTCATCAGCCCCTATCTCCTCTCATGTTCCTAGGAAGGTCAAATACTGCCAGAGGTTCTGCCTTCTCTGCATTATCAAGTTCCCCACAAACAGGTGTGTGGGGAAATTGATACATAATAACCAGCGGGAGACATATAAGCTAATCTCTGTGACAAAGATATTTCAAACTCCCCAACAAATGATTCTTGCAGAGTTGAAATTTTCAGGGAAATGAGAAGTTCTCCAAGATCCTATTCCAGAAACTCACAACTTACTTCCTAAAGCCACCAACCTACCCTCCACCCAGTACTCACTGGACCTCCTCTCCCAGAATATTCAGAGAACTTAGGAAAATACTTTGCAAAATGGCAAACATGGCTATGAGAACCAAATAACATGAACAAAGTTGAAAGCATGAAAATGGCTCTCAACTGGCTAATCCTCCACCACCAAGCGCCAGCATCCCAAATGGGTAATGGTTCGTGTCCTGGCTGCTCCATTTCCCATCCAGCTCCCTGCTTATGGCCTGAGAGAGCAGTAGAAGAAGACCCCATGCCTTGGAACCTGCACTTGCTTGGGAAACCCTGAAGAAGCTCCTAGGTCCTGGCTTTGGATCAGCTCAGCTCCAACCATTGTGGTCACTTGGGGAGTGAACTAGTGGATGGAAGTTCTTTCTGTCTATCTCTCCTTTCCTCTGTAAATCTGCCTTTCCAATAAAAAAAATAAATATTTTTAAAATGAAAAATAGAAAAAAGAGAGAAATGAACATTGTAAAATATTTTTTTAGAAAATTCTTGACATAATTCCAAAGAGCTGACTTACAATTTGTGCTCATGGGGTAATAGTAATCACAGAAAATTGAGTGATCTAAAGTTCTTTTACAGCACCTGTGGGAAATGCTAGCTACAAAAATACCACCGAGTGGTTACTGTGCGTGAGACCCTGTGCATACTTCTCCGTAATCAACAAGAGCTAGCAGAAGCATGAGAAGTCCAGATGTGTAACGAGAGATTAGTAAAAGCTTAAGCCACAAAGGATTGCTGAGAGACGTGGGGGAATTGTCCTAAAGCACCAAAGCATCAGTAAAAGAGTGCGCATTTGCTCCTCTGGAAAGCATAGTCAATTGAGCTTGTTATTCCCATCCCTAAGAGGTTAATCAAGCCCTGTACCAAATGTCCACTACAGTTCTTCTTTCAGCAATGGTGAGACATGAACATTCTAAATGTGTAATTCACCTAAGACAGAAAAAAACCTACTGTTTTGGAAACAGTGGGCAGCTAGTACAGATTGTGTCGCACAGGTGTGATGTGCTCCGTATGGCTCCCACTTCTGAACAGGCAGACACTCCAATCTGTCCCCGCACAGGCTTGCCAGGCTTGCCACGGTCTTTCCAGGCTTCCTGCACTGACACCTCTTACTGAAGCTCTGTCCTTCTGTCCAGTCATTCATGAGGAGGAGGACAACCCCCAGGAAATCAGGCAGCATGACTGCTTCACCTTCTATTACACCATTTATTCCTGGTCACCACTTAGCTAGGGATTCACACTTAGCCTCAAGCCATGCAGATGAGAGAGGCCTAGATAAAGATGGCAGTTCCCTCTGAGGACAGCCAGGGGACAAGCTCGCCCCAGGGCAAGAAGAGTCACCAGAGCCCTGATCCTCACCACTAGATTTCAGTCCCAACATGGGTCCTTCCAGGGGAAGTTCCTCTCAACCTCCTCGGAGATCTTGGAAAACCTCATTCTGAACTAGTTCTCCTTTAGTTCCTATGTGGTTCCTCTCCCTATAGAAGAACAAAGTCTGACACAATCGTGAGTGTTAGGAGTAGTTAACTCACAGGTAAGGCCAGGGAGACGTGATGCATGACAGAAAACAGTCAGGGCCACAGTCATGCTAACTCAATGACCCCTCTCATAAGACCACAGGGACTCACTGCTGTGGAAGCAGTGTGTGTGCAGAGGAGGGCAGCACATGCAAAGACTGCTTCTGAAACCAAAGGCAGGGTGCGATTATAAACCACAAAGCTGCCATGATTCACAACGAAGACCGATGAATCCTTGGCTTGTCAATTTAGGCCTGATTGGCTGAAGCGAAGTCCTTAGAAACTAGAGGCCCAAAACAGCCAATGGTTAAATCCTCACCTTGCGTGCCCTGGGATCCCATGTGGGCGCTGGTTCCTGTCCCAGCTGCTCCACTTCCCATTCAGCTCCCCTGCCTGTAGCCTAGTAAAGCAGTACAGGATGGCCCAATGCCTTGAGAACCTTGCACCCACATGGGACACCCAGAACAAGTTCCTGGCTCCTGGCTTTGGATTGCTCAGCTCTGGTCATTGCAGTCACTTGGACAGTGAATAGAGTGAACCAGTAAATGCAACTCTCTATAAATCTGCTTTTCTAATAAATAAATACATAATTTTTTTAAAGAAAGAGAGAGAGTGTTTTAGAAACTATTTTAAAAACCTTTGGACCTGGCACAGCAGGCTAGTACCTAAATCCTCACCTTGCACACTCCAGGATCCCATATGGGCGCCGATTCGTGTCCAGGACCTCACTTCCCATCCAGCTCCCTGCTTGTGACCTGGAAAAGCAGTTGAGGACGGCCCAAAGCCTTGGGACCCTGCACCCACGTGGGAGACCTGGAAAAAGCTCCTGGCTCCTGGCTTCAGATCAGCTTAGGTCCAGCCATTGCAGCCACTTGGGGAACAAATCAGCAGATGGAAGATTTTCCTCTCTGTCTCTTCTCCTCTCTTTATATCTGACTTTCCAATAAAAATAAATAAAAATTTATTATAGAAAAAAAGAAAGAAGCCCTCGAGTCCTCTAGGCTAGGTCAACATGTAAACATGAACCACCAACCAGAAGATGGTCCCCATCACTGCAAATCCCCCATCCAGCTGTTCTCCTGACGATCCTGATGGGCTTTCTTTGCAATTGTGGCTCTGGCTGCTCTGTGTGTGCCTGATTACTTTTTATCTTACAGCCTGTTTAACCAATCAAGGGCCATATTTCTGTAAATTCTCATTGTTTTAAGATTTATTTTTATTTTTATTGGAAAGGTAGATATACAGAAAGAAAGAAAGACAGAGAAAAAGATCTTCTATCCGCTGGTTCACTCCCCCAACAGCTGCAATGGCCAGAGCTGAGCTGACCCAAACTCAGGAGCCAGCAGCTTATTCCAGGTCACCCGCACAGGCACAGGAACCCAAAGCTTTGGGCCAAACTCGACTACTTTCCCAGGACACAGGCAGGGAGCTGGATGGGAAGTGGAACATCCAGGATTAGAACCGGCACCTATGTGGGATCCCAGTCCTTGCAAGGCAAGGACTTTAGCCACTGGACTACTACGCTGGGGTAAATTCTCATTTCAATCCCACTTTTAAAGTCTGCTCCCTCACAGGAGTTCCACTACCATCTAGGAAGGTTAATTTCCTTCCTTCATTATACAGTGACTTAGAATGATTACTGCGTGCCAGGCGCTCCACCAACAAAGTCACGGAAAATAAGCCCTAGCTTTGGGGCTGCACTGATGAGAACGCCTGGTAAATTAACCAGGGCTTTACGTTTTCCCATCTAAAAGCAGCTCTGCTGGGATGGCTGCTCTGCTCTCCACATTCCAGCCAAGGGCACCAGGGAAGACCTCTCCAACTCTATTTTCCACCCACCTCCCTAAGAAACTCCCATCTCAAAATGGGAAGAATAAAGAAACTTAACAAAAAGGGGAGGGAGGCTGGAGGAGTGAAAAGCATTTTCTAGAGAAATGAAGTGCTTTCTTCCTTTTTAATATTCACAACAGATGTTGATTATTTTTGCAGGTTATTTGCCAAATGCTCAGATGCCAACAAAGAAAAAGGACCATTTCCTTCCTGAAAAGAAAAACCGAGAGCTGGAAGCATCGGCCCTGTTCACTTCTCCCTGACAGAACTCTGCCTCTGCACCTGCTGCAGAGCTGCTCGGAGTCTGACAGCAACAGCCCAGCACACACCTAAATGTCCCTCACCAAGCTGTGTTTATAACCTAGAATCCCTCGCCACCACCACCAAGTATGAATGCAGGGAGAGCAGCTTAACTATTTCCCAACGCACAAAACTTGCTCACGCAGTTACTACAGAATGCTGTGGCAGGCACACGCTCGGGTGGCCCCATCCCCCGAAGTCACAGCTCTGCATTACACCTTCCCCTCAAGTGGAGGGAGAATCTGCTTTTTCCTACCAACAGAAAATGGCCAAGCGGACGAGAGGCTACTCTTGTGACTGTATTAGGCTATGTGGGGAAAGGTAAGAAACCGTGCAGATGTGGTTCAAGTCCCTGAGCAGCTGGCTCCACGTGAATAAAAAGGAAGACTATACTGGCCTGACTTTATCTAATGGGTTGATTCTTTAAAAAACTAAACAAACAAACAAAAACCTGTACTGTGCGTCAGCTGACAACATAGTGTGAACTGGCCCCGTGCATGACTAAGTTTCTGATAATCATCCAGAGGATTTAATTCTTCAAACGCTTAAATGTCAGTGTACTGGACAAATGTCTACGTTGTTAATACCACTCCTTTCTGGATGCCTACAGGATTATAGGTAACACATATTACCAGATATGAGCAAAATGGAAAATCAGTCTATCTGAAAATCCCAGAATCCTCATCAAAATCTAAAATACATGTCAACCCTCCAGGAGCAGGAATTTAGTCTTGCAGTTATGACGCCTGTACTCCCAGATGGAGTGTTTGAGGAAAGTTCCCCCAGCCCCAGCTGCTGACTCACTTCCTGCCAATGCAGACCCCAGGGGGCAGCAATCACTCACGCCACTGGGCTCCCAGCACTGTGTTCTCGGTTCAAACCTTAGCACAGTGCTGCTCCTTGCAGGCATTTGAGGAGACAATCAGGAGAGATGGGAGTGAGTGTTGTCTGTGTGTGTGCGTGCGCGTATGTGTGTGTTTGAGGAGGAGTAAGCTTTTAACCTAGTGTCTAATATGCCACTTGGAATAACCATATTCCTTGTTAGAGTCTCCTGATTTGGGTCCAGGCTCCCTTCCAAACCAGCTTTCTGCTACTGCATAACTTGGGAAGAGCAGCTGATGGTTAGGCTACAGTAATCGGGTCCCTTCACCACTCAGCTTGGTCTAACGCAGCCCTGGCCACATGGAGATTTAACATACCAGCAGTCACTCTCATTCTCATTCTCTCTCTCTCTATTTCTCTCTCCCTCATCTTTCTTCCTGCCTCTCAGGTACAAAAACATATTCAAAAGAATTGATTGTTAAAATAATTCATTTATAATAGTTAATTTTAAAATTAATTCTGATATCCTCTATAGCATTCCTTTTGAGACCTTTTGTGCCCTGTGCAATTTCTTACCTGTCTACCCCTTTTATTCCAAATAACACTTCATCTGTTCTGCTTTATGGGCAGAAAACAGTAAAATGCCCATTGAAGCAGAGTTAGAAATCTGTTTACACTGGAACAGTATTCTCTACCAAGCAAATGTGTTGAGTCTGTTAAGTAAATCTACTACCACCATAACAGCAAGCAATGTTCCTATGAAATTTTGAATAGCAGTTCATGAGTCACTTGCTTCCCTTGAGTTCTATTGGTGGTGACGTTCACTCCCATTGATCTACCACTCATTGCAGAGTGAAATAACCTCAGCAGCATGGAAACCTACATTATCCAATGTGAGAGGACAGCAGGAGACAGTGAGTCTCTCCAGAATGGGCACTATTCACAGTCCTCTTCAGCCTTTCCCAGGCTTCTAGCTCAGTGTTCTATGTACCATGATCCCTCAACGGATGAGCATCAAGTTGAACTGAAGATAAACGAGAAGGTTCACAATCACTGTGGAGTAAAAGGAAGGCTCATCCAATTGTTACCTATGATTCCCTCCCATCACCACCTACCCTCCTACTCAAATATTAGTCTTAAAATAGTCACAGGGGGAGGAGTCTAAAAAAATATTGCATTTAAAAATCCATTAAAAATGAAATGCTAGGGCTGACACAGAGGCATATCAGGCTAATCCTCCATCTGTGATGCCAACACCCCAAATGGGCATGGGTTCAAGTCCTGGTTGCTCCAATCCCATATCTTGCTAATGGTCTGGGAAATAAAGAAGGATGGCCCAAGCAGTTGGGTCCATACACTCACAAGGGAGACTCAGGAGAAAGCTCCTGGCTCCTAGCTTTGGACTGGTCCAGTTCCAGCCATTGTAGCCATTTGGGGAAAGAACCAGTGGAAAGAAGATCTCTCGATCTCTCTCTCTCTCTCTCTCTCTCTCTCTCTCTCTCTCCCTCCCTCTCCCTCTCCTCTCTCTCCTGTCTCTGTAACTCTTTGAAATAAAAATAAATAAACCGTTACAACTGAAATGCTACATACTGGTACACGTTTTCAGTATCTACTGCTACACTACCTACTGTTTGTCTCCCAAATACTTACTAAGGGTTATTATTAGCAAGAGGGAAATACCACTCCTTCTTCTTTTTAAACCACAGCAGTGCTTTGGGTTTATGAATTAATGCCACTTGTACCAGTTCTTGTACACAATGTTGCTCTAACAGGGACACAGCACAAAGCGCACTGCTGGTCCCTTGAACCTCATACATTCCCTGCACCCCGCAAATCAGCACAGCACTTAAGTCAGCAGAGCAGCACATCTCAAGCAGCTGAAGACGCCCTTTCCCGTCTCTATGTCTGCCTAAACAACTTTCTTGCCTTTAAGAAATCTTGAACTCTAGGCTGTGGCATGGTGGATAAGCCATACCACCTCAGCACTAGCACTGACTATGGGTACAGTCAGTCTGGTTGCTCTGCTTCTAACCCAGCTCCCTGATCACGTGCCTGGGAAAGCAGTGGATGATGGTGCAAGTCCTCGTGCCTCCTCGCCCACGTGGGAGACCCAGAGGGAGCTCCTGGCTCCCAGACTCAGACTGGTTCAGCTCTTGCCATTACAGCTATTTGAGGAGCAAACCAACAGACGGAAGATCTTTCTCTCTGCTTCTCCCTCTTTCTGCAATTCTGCCTTTCAAATAAATAAACAAATCTTTAAACTAAAAAAAAAAAAAAACACACTCAAAATAAAAGAATTAGAGGCATTGTGTCTATAACTGGCACATAGAATTTTCAAATGCCTGCTAAATAGAAATCAATCGGGAAGAGTAGCACACCAACGATCGGAATCATTCTGGATTGGATAATCATTTCTATACAGTAACAAAACCAGCCAGGCCAACCCAGTTTTCAGGGTCCAGTAAACTTTTCAGCAGCTTCCCTGCCACATATACATCCAAGGCATTGGTCATAGCACCAATCTACACATGCTCTCCACCCCCTGCGCCAGCAGCTTCCTCACCGGCCCCACTCTCCCCTCCATACACTCACAGCTCTAGGGCTCCCTCTGACCACGACGCAATGCTGAGCTTGTTCCCCTCCATCTGAGAACATCTAGCTTTGCCTCCTCTCTACACCATCTCATGCATCTCTATCTCCTCTGCAGAGAGACTCTTTTGTAAAATCTCCCTGTTTGCAAGCTGCTAATTCTTAGATTCATAAACAATCCTGCTGCTATTCTCTTGGCACAGAATTCATGCCTGGATGTCCTAACATATATGCAGAAACCATGTCCTACCTTACTCCACCCCACCCTGCACAGTGCTGCCACAAGGGTCTTTCCAACACACCATTCTGGTCATCTTACTTTACTGCTTAAAAATCTCCTGTACCTGGGCCCGCCACGGTAGCATAGCAGCTAAAGTCTTTGCCTTGCATGTACCAGGATCCCATATGGATGCAGGTTCTAATCCTGGCAGCCCCACTTCCCATCCAGCTCCCTGCTTGTGGCCGGGGAAAACAGTCGAGGACGGCCCTACACCTTGGGACTCTGCACCCATGCGGGATACCCAGAAGAGTCTGTGGGCTCCAGGCTCCTGGCTTCAGATTGGCTCACCTCTGGCTATTTAGACCACTTGGGGAGTGAATCAATGGATGGGAGATCTTCCTCTCTGTCTCTCCTCCTCTCCGTATATCTGACTTTCCAATAAAAATAAAATCTTTTTTTAAAAAAAATCTTCTGATCCAGAATAAAGTATTCACTTCTTAGCAGTGATAAATATACCTCCCTACCTTTCCAATCTTATCCCTGGGGGCCATCTGCCACCAGCCTCAGATTAACCCTCCTGCCTGGCATTTCTCCACTCAGGCACATTCATGCCTCCATGCCCCACTCACTTGTCAAAATGACCTTTCGAGTAAGTTCACCATGCCCTCTGCCTTACCAAGTACTCCCACGCTGTCCTGTTCTTCCTCCCACAGCATTTATCACATTTAACTGTGATTGTCTTATTACTTTTCTGTCTCCTCCCTTAAACTGAGCTTCTTTCAGGGAGAAGTCACAATGCATTTTGCTCCTCTTTGTATCATTAGTACCTAGCACAGCATCTGGCACTTAAGAGGCACTCCATAAGCATTTGAGAGACTGCTATGGTATGGTAACAACCACAGCTAGAACTCAGGCAGAATTTACTCTCTGCCAGGTACCACTCTAGGCATTTTATACATGTTCATTCTTTAATCCTCATAATAATCTCGTCAACTATATGACTATCTCTACAAATGAAGGAACTGCAAGCAGATACATTAAATAATACATTCAAGGTGACATGGTCATTAAGTGACAGACAAAGTCACACCTAAACACAGATGGTGAATTCCTGAGCCACATTCTTCACCACATCTCCATGCTGCCTCTTTTACACATGATGCAAAGGAAATGTGATCTGCTGTGGAAGCCCTCATATCACCCAATCTGAGCCAGAGGCGTCCCTTCTGTGTCCCATGAAACCCCATACACACCTTCCTACCATTCATTACACTATACCTTACTCCTCGGGGTCTATTCCAATATCCCGTAAGTATCTTGAGAACAGAGACTAACATTTTATATACATATATACACACACATATGTATGTGTGTGTGTATAAAACTCAGTGCCTAGCACATGGGAAATACTAAATAACTTTCATAGCTACATAGACATACTAACATTGATTTTCAGACAAGCCAGCAGGTGGCAGAAGACGACAATACTCACAGCTAAACAGAGACTGAGTGGCCTTACCTTTCACCTGGGTCACTTTCTTCATGATGGTTTTCTGACTGCTGGCCAGGCTCACTGTCACGGTGGCTCCTGGTGTGCCATAGCCCCAGATCACAGCCCCAGCAGGCTCCTTCTGCAGCACCATGTAATCATTGATGTGCGAAGCAAAGCGAAAACCAACACCTAAAAGATTGAGCAAATTCTTAGTGGGGACATCCTCTGGGAGACCCAGCACCACATGGATCGGGTGGAGCAACAAGGAATATGCAGGTTTTATGCAAGACAATTGGCAGCCTCAGTTCTTTCATCTGCTACAACTGGATCCTATGCATCCCAATTAGGTAAGCAATACAGCAAAACGTATTCGACACATCACAGTACAAAACAACCATTAAGGAAGCCTTAGAACCCAGGCCAGCAAGGGGCCACACACCCCGACCCTCTCCCTCAGAGCCCTTGCCCTTCCTTTGCTTTCAGGCTTGGTCCAAACACTTGACTTCTTTCCCTCCTCCCACATATAAAAAAAATCACTATAACAATCTTTTATGCACCACACAGATGGTGTTTATGAGAAAAATAAACCACTTCCTTCCCCTACTTTCCATCACCACGCCCACTCCTTTTAGCTGGGAATAAAGAAGCATGCTTCTCTCCAGGGTAGCCTTCTTTACTCTGTTTTCCTTTTTTTTATCTCCCCCTTACCTATGACTGGCTAATTTCCTTCATATAACTGCCCTTCTTGTGCTTGTTTCAAGGTGGACTGATTGATGAGTTGACCTGAAAGGTACAGGTAGAGCAGGAAAGAAAGAGATCTTCCATCTGCTTCCATCACTAACGGTAGCCAAAGCCAGGGCCAGGTATTCCATCCGGATCTCCCACAGGAATATCAAGACCTCAGGCACTTGAGCCCCATCTTCTGCCTCCCAGCCACACTATCAGGGCACTGGTTTAGAAGCAGAAAAGGAAGCAGAGTAGCGAGAAATTGAACTGTTACTCTGATGTGGGATGCCAGCTACTCAAGCAATGGTTTAACCCACAGCACTACAATGTTCACCCTCTTAGGTTTTTTTTTTAGCAAGCTAGTATAAAATACTTTAGATTCTAAATAAGTATTTATAAATATCTCTAAGTCTGCAACTTCAAATAATTTCAGATAAATGCAAAACAAGGTCAAAACATCTGAACAACGGCTTTCCATCACAATGTTACCCACTTCACAAGTTAAAGTATAACCAAAAAAAATTAGATGGAGAAACACACTTGAAACTGTGGATTCTATTCTAGAAAGTCACTAACAAGACTGAATAAGATTTCATTTTAATGAGATCATTCCTATTTTTATCATCCAGGCTATATGGAAGTATTTTATTAATAACAAGCATCAATCTAAATTATCTCTGTGAATTCCTTATCGAAACTTCCCAAGAAGAATAATAAAACTTAAGGTATGCACCCATTTCAACAAAGAAAACAAAGTCCCTTAAAAATCAGCAAAATTAGGATTTAAAAAAAAAATAAAGACCAAAATGATAGACAGAGAAGAGAATCAGAATTAATAGGGCTCACATTTTCCTCCCTGGAAGCTACAAATGATGACGGCCCCTTAGGCTATGCTTAACAGGCCTGCACAGCTAACAGAACCTCAGCCAAGTTCAGTGACCTATTTACACTGCTCTAGAATACAGACTGGTCCCTAAAACTCCTCCGTGCTCTCCTGTGGGCTAGTTGCACCAGGAAGCCAATGTGATAATCAAAGATCACCCAGAAGGGCTTCCCAGGCTACAGATGCACGGCTACCAGGAGCCAAGGGCTCCACGAAGAGCTTACATAAGCAGGTTGGCAGCCTGCTAGGGGGAAGGAGGAGGCACACGTGTGGGAGGGCCCTGTCTTGGGTAGGTGCTTCATATGGAACAAAAACTGCAAACCAGAGGCATAAATAAGAGCTAAGTAGAGAGTGAGGAGGTTGGGGAACTGAAGCAAACTGGCAGCTGCTTGCATAGCTATGGGGACGGCCAGGAGCCCAGAGCCGGGAAATACCTTTTACCAAGTCAGTCTGTCCAACCAGCACACCCTCACTGAACCTCCTAGTGCAGGGTTCTGTGCTGGGTTAAAGAATGTTGAAGGTGGAAGAGATCTTTATTCAATCATGGTATAATCACGTTACTTACTGATCAAGAGGCAAAATCCTATTACTGACCCAGAGAGACAGAGAACCAAGTAGATTAAGTGATTCTTAAAAATAGCTTACACATCCATTAATTAACTCAGCAAGTACTTATTTATTTGTTCCTACTGCATGCCAGGCCACTATTTTAAGCAGTGAGATCTAACACCAAAAAAAAAATTCTAGCCAGGGCCTGGCAATATGGCATGGTATGTTAAGCTTCAGCCTGCAGTGCCAGCATCCTATATTGGTACTGGTTTGAGTCCCAGCTGTTTCATTGCCAATCCAATTCCCTGCTAATGTGCTTAGGAAAGCATCTCAAGATGTCCTAAGTGCTTGACCCTCTTGCACCTACATAGGAGACTCAAAAGAAGCTCCAGACTCCTAGTTTTGGATCAGTTCAGCTCCAGACCTTGCAAACATTTAGGGAGTGAATTGGTAGGTTTTCTTTCTTTCCCTCTCTCTCCCTCTCTCTCTTCCTCTCTCCCTCTCTCTCTTCCTCTCTCCCTCTCTCTCATCCCACCCCTCTGTCTCTGTAAATCTGCATTTCAGATCATAAATTCAATAAATAGAATCCCTGCCAGCAGGGCTCTGACTCTTCTGAGGGGCTGACCTGAGGCAAGCACCGTGCTAACCACAGAGCAGACAGTAAGCTCAGGCCAACAGCACAGAGGCCAAGTCGGCAGACACCTGCCACAATCGGGTAAGGATGGTAAATCATGAAAAAGGAATGTTTCCTGTCCCTCCCCAGCTCAGACACTCAGCTGACAGGCCCGTGGCCCACGAGCAAGGAACTGAACAATGGACAGACAGGAGAAGGAGCCCTGGCAGGTGCTGCTGGCAAACAGATTCAGCTAACACTTCAATTTCTTTTTCTTCTTCTTTTTTTAATGTCTTCAGTTAAAAGCAGACAAACAAAATTAAGCCAGCGGTTACCACTTTGCCTGTGCCGTGAGCTAACCAGGGAACGTTTCCAGAAGGAGTAGCCTGACGGGCTCCATAAAACTGGCCATGTTCTAATTCACTCGCAGGTCTGCAGCTATTGTTGCATTTGATACATCTCAACTATTACATGATAAACAGAAGTCCGAGAGGAGGGGTCATCTAAAGGAAAGATATCCCTTTCCAAGAAGGGAGGGAGAGGACAGAGGAATGACAGAACATAGTCCGTGTTTGGGAAGGCAACGTGGTGGGGGTGTGACCCGCAGCAGGCCACGAAGCACTGAGAGCCAAGGCTTCAACAGGAAAACGCATGAAAGAGAGCTTTCACCTGCTCCCGTACAAAGGTCACCGGGCGTAGAGGACACTGCAAACACGGCACTATTTCCTGGCACCTCTGTGAAACCCTGAAAAAACAGGCAGGGTTGCAGTGGAAGGGATTCGGGGAGGCGTCCTAGCTCCGAAGTGGAATTCATCAACCAGGTTTGTGCACAGCGCTCTCCCACTTCCACTTTAAATCCCTCACAGAGATGGGGTAGTAGCCACAAAAAATCCCTCCTGCGGATTTTCCTCTGCGTTCGCACCCAGATTCCCCCTCCGGTCTCCTACAGGCAAGCCACAGCCCCATGTCCAGCCTGGGCATCCAAACGCCAGGTTCTGACCATGCATTGCTTCCCCTCCACCTGCACCTAAGCTGAAGCGAGAAAGCAGAGGCGAAGCCCAAGCCTTCACTATTCCTGCGCTGCTGAGGGGGCTGTGTCTCTTAGCCCTAATAACTACTTAAACTAGTAAAACTTAATTCCTCCAAGGAACCCAGCCTGAAGCAAGCCCTCCCCAAGGGGCACCCCTGAGGGGGCAGCTGCTGAAATGCGTCGCATGACTCACTCACCTGTTTCCAAATATTACCTAACTAGCTTCGCCCCCTTCCCTCAGAGCTCCCCTGCAGGGACTCCAAGACCCCGCGCGCCTCGGCCTGGGCACATCAGGGCACGTCCATCCCCCGCTCGGAGAAACTCAACTCTGCTGCCCCGGGAGAGGCCGGCGCCCACGGACTGCCGCAGCCCAGGCCTGGGTCGGAGACAAGGCCCGCAGAGCGCGAGGGGCAGCGGAGCGGCTGAGCCGGGCCGCCTCACCTGCACTGGCGTCGGCCCACAGGACGACCGGCAGCGCCAGCCCCAGCACAGAGCCCAGCGCCACCATGTTGGCGAGCATCCGTCGCGGACACGCGGCCACCGGGACCGGCCCAGCGGGCGGGGGGCGGAGCCACGCGGGCAGGGGCGTGGCCCGGCCGAGGCGCGGCTGGCTGACTCCACCCCTTCCTAGGACCGTCCGCGAGGCAGCCCCTTCCCGGCCGCCGTAGTTTTTCTCCTTACAAAAAAGAAAAAAAAACGGTTACCCAGCAACGAGAAAAACACAACCGGAATCCTGGGTGTCAGCTCCGAGAGCTAGAAGAGGTGAGGCGGTTTCCCCCATTTTCTCTCCAGTGCCTTTCGGCTACCGTGTTCTTTGCTGTCTTCGACACAACCCTGAAACAGCAGATGGGGAACCCAGGCTGTCCCTTAAATGGCAGGTCCTCAAGAGGCTGCCAGAACTGACCGGCCTGACCGCTCTCCCGCAGGCCTCCAACGCCTCAGACGGCTTCAGGGCTCCCCTGGGCCCTGCGCAGCCCCCACAGGGACCCCCACAGGGACCCTCGCCCAGAGTCCCTCGCCACTGTCCGTCAGTGTCCACATCCACAGGCCAAGCCCCTTGCATTCTTTCCAGACCCATTAGCGAAACCCACTGCTCGGCACCTGGCCTTGGACCAGCCCTTGGGTCCAGCGGTGGAAGGGAAGACTTGGTCAAAGCAAAACTAGAAATATAGAAGAATCTCTAAAGTTTTAAGAGACTGGGATTAGGACATCGTGACCCACCACCTCATCTGCCCTTCCCACCCCTGGCTTCCCCGTTCCGGAGTTCAGAGGCGCTTCCTGGCCTTGCAAAGTGTCAACGCAGGGAAAGATGAGTTGTGAAACTTGTAGCTAAACAAGTAGTACTTTCCAGAATCAGGGCTGGTTTCCACTTTATGTAATTTTTAAGACCCTGCGCTGGGTCTTCTTCACGACTGATAATGAATTCAGCGTTCAGTGACTTGCCCTGGAATTTTTTAAATTGCCTTTTTAAGACTAGGGGTGGGGAGTAGAAAACACACACAGCGTCATAGTGAAAATCTATCTTTCAAAATATCTTGGCTAATTGGGTGAATTTGTGTTTACAGTATTGTAATGCATAAAAGAGAACTCGGGAGTCTCCGTCAGAGATGGATGGACTCGGAATGTGCTGGGGGATAAAACAAAGCTAAAGTCCAAAAAATTCTGAGTTTTAGAAACCACTTGTTGTTGTAGTTAGTGATTGTCTAGTTCAAACCTGTCGCATTCAAAGTCCTCTTTACCAAATCTCTAGGTACCAAGTAGGCAGATTCTTCCCAAGGAGATGTCGATTCCGTTTTCCAACACCCACTATCGAATTCCACAAGGATTTGGGAATCTTCTTGAAGGGCTGACACGTGAGATTCTGAAGGAGCAACCAGACAACATACCAGCTTTTGCAGCAGCATATTTTGAGAACCTTCTAGAGAAAAGAGAGAGTAAGCTGGGGTTGTTATAGGCCTTTTTACATAAGACACCCTCCACGTTTGGTTATGATGAGAGCTGCCTCGTGTCACCTCCGTTCTCCGGGAAGCCATTGTGAGGCGGGTCTGACGGTCCGTCTAAGGTTACTGTCCCACTGCTGAACGTTAGCAGCTTATTACCGAACCTTCCTTGTTTTTCTCGGGTCTCCCAGGGTGGAAGGGACCTCCCCTTTGCTGTGGCCTGACCCTGTGCAGCCCCAGCAATTCCTGGCCTGGGCTTCTAGAATGGACACTCTGCTCGGCTCCACCTTTCGATTCGTCTCCTGGGCAAGTGTTACATAATCATTGTAAAAAATAATTCTGTTCATTCCTTCGACTGAGAAAGTCAGTGTTCACTGAGGTATACCAAAGTAGGCTTCCCTGAAGACATCACAGTGCTTTGAGAACTTACACTGCCACTCTGGAAAGGTGAGCAGTATTCTTTATGCAAGCCCCGGCCTACACAGACTAAGATTCATGCCAACAGTAACTCTTTGAGAGCCAAAGCAAAGTTCACTTAGAATCTCCGCATTCTTAGCTTAAAGGTTCATAACTCTCAGCACCTGACCCGGTGGTCAAAATGAGAGCTGTTAGAGCTATACATTCATGTGTAAGTCTCTTCTTGAGTCTGATGGTTGCCGTGGCAACCAGAGGATGGAGCTTGCTTCAAGCCGGCTCCAGGGCCTGGTGGTCCACAAATCCTACAGATTCCACCAATGAGCGAGCTCTTGTGATGACTTGGGGTTATAGTCTTCCAGCAGAATGGTAAAGGTAACGATAAATCACTGCAAACAAACGTTCGTTTGTAAATCATTTTGTAGAGGAAGGAAGCTTGGCAGAAGGCTTAACCAGCTCCCACGCCCGCTGCGCAGCTCCACCCCTCTGTGTCCATTTCCTCATTGTTACTGTCTTTTCCATAAGCAGTCAGTGTGAAGGTTTGCTGCGTAATCTGAAACTTTAAACCCAACTAAAAACTTCAGCTGTATTTACAGGTAAAGGATTAAGAGCAATCCTTTGGGAAAAGAGGTAAATCATGAACATTAAGTAAGTTAATGTTAATTAAATGATGTAAGAAAAAGTCTTCAGTCATTATTTAATTTTAGAACTCAGAAATATCCCATTGCAAAAACATCTGAGTCATTGTTACCAGATCACAGGAATAAAAGCAACTGATGTTTCAGATTAATGACCTCAGTATACTATTAAAACAATGGAGAATACATTTTTGAAAATTAAACACCACACCCTCTTCAACCCATGTCAACCAAAGGTGAGTTATCTGTTACACACAAGGATACTTCAGTTCATGGAAAACTTAATTAAAACTTAATTCTTCCGCAAAATGATTTTGAAATCCTTGCATAGTGATTTTTTTATATTATGTGTCTTATGTGAAGTTTTCAAAGAAACTTTGTGTCAGAATTTAATCTCCTAAGCTGCAAAAGTAAACATGGACCAATCTCCCACACAGTGTAACAATTTTACAGGTACCTTGATGGTCGACATTTTGTTCATATAAAAGGAAAAAAAATCGTAGCATATAATATGGATAGTACCTGCCTGAAATCATCACAGGAAAATTGGGTGTTTTAGTAAATGATATTGGGATTAAGATGGAAAAAGATAAATAGATAATTACTTGTACCATACACTAAGGTAAATTCTAAATTTGGCATTCAAACATTTTTTTTAATGAGAATAATAACACAAAAGAGTGAATTACTATATAACATTAAACAAACAAACAAAAAAACTTTGCTGGCTAATTTACTTTGTTTCAAAACTCCAGAGGCAAATTAAAGAACAGATTGATAAAACAGACAACATAAAAATAAGAATTTACATGACAAAAAGCACCATGAGGAAAAAAGAAACTACAAAAGACAAAATGGGAGGACTATTGTATCCCAGTGGGTCAATAAACCTAGGACTTGTGAAAAAGGTGTGTTATAACACACTTATAACAAGCAGAGAGAGTCTACAGCCATACCACCCTGAACGCGCCCCATCTCGTCTGATAACAAGCAGAGAGAGAGAGTGGACAAGAGGTATACACAGTCAGTCAAAAGTAGATGCAAATGACCCCTAACATAGGAAGATATCCTCAAACTAGCCCACAATAACAGAAGTCTACATCAAAATTAACACAAGCTACTAACAACCTCTCCAGCAAAAAGCTGAGATTAAGCCAACGTACTCTGTAGGCAAGGCTGTTGGGAAAATAGGCACTCACACGTTGTAGCCAAAGAGTAAAATGGTTTAGCTTCAAGAACCAGAATTCGGCAACATCTACAGTGTCACACAGGCATTTCATCTTTGAGTTAGATTTCTATGCTTTGCATCATTATTTGTGGAAGCAACCTGGATATCCACGATGAGGATTGATTTAATAAACAAAGAGTGCATTCAATGGAATAATATGTACCTTAAAAAGAAAAATGAAAAATGAGGAAGGAAGAGAAGTTAGTTTGATAGGAAAAAGTTTGAAATTACTGGATAAGAGTGTTCTTCCAAAACTGTATGAAAAAAATATGTATACTACCAAATAATTGTTTGAATTTCAAAATTTCTGTACCAAAATAAGCTTATTTGTAAGTCCATTTTCCAGAAACTTTTTGAAATACCTTCATATACATTGTAGAACAAAAAACAGCTATTCCTGTTATTACAAATTTCTTAGTTATAGTTATAAAAATGAAAGACAATCCATAATCCTAAAAATTTTTCATTGAAAACTAGCAGTGTGATATCATGTTTTACTTTAAAAAAAAAAAAACCAGATGGGGATATTAGTTCAAGTCCCACCTCTGCTCGTCCAGCTTCCTCTGATGCACCTGGGAAAACAACAGAGTTATCCAAGCCCTTGGGCCCTGCACTCACCTGGGAGACCGGAGTGTGGCTTCAGGTCCTTGGCTTCGGCATAGCCCTGCCACAGGTGAAGCCTCCAAACTGGCGTTCCCTATGGGTGATCACTAGAACTATCTCTGCTTCGCTTCCAATCCAGCTTCCTACAAATGGTATTGGAAAGCAGAAGAGGATGTCCTAAATCACTAGGCCCCTGCATTCACTAGGGAGACCCAGAAGAAGCTCCTGGCTCCTGGCTTCAGACTGGCCCAGCTTCTACCGCTGGAGCCATTTAGGTCCTGGATGAATGGGCAGAAGATGGGTGATCTCTCTTTCCTCCTCGCTGTGTAGCTCTGCCTTCCAAATAAAAATGAACAATTTTTTAAAAAACCTAAATGGTGGTCAATATGCATATAAAAATCAAACAGATAATTAGATTTATCTTCTGGTTATATACACAACACTGGCAAATGCTCTTTACAAAAACAAAATCAAATATGAGTAAGATCCTACCTACAGTCCACAAAGAAATGGCAGAGGAACCTGTTAAAATGCAGTATTAAAACACTGAAAAATAGCTAGTCTGTGGAAAATATTATTAATCTTATCAACAAATAAATTGCAAGGGCAATATGAGGGGGTAGGGAGTTTTCCATTAAAACATTTACACGATAACTGAAGAATGTGTGTGTTCACTATGGCATTTGAACAAACAATAGGAAATTCATTAGGTAGTAAGGAAATTTGGATAGTTGATTGGAAAGTTGTATTAAGGAAGCTATTGTTAATGTCAGGATACACTTAAATAGAATGATGAACTTCTGATTATGAAGGACTATACTATTGTATTGATATAGGCAGAATCAGTGGTGTGTGTGGCGGGGGGGGGAGGGTTGGAGGTTTGAAGAGGGGGGGAAGGGAAATCCCAGAGCCCATGGAACCATATCATAAAATAACAAAATAAATTATTTTTACAATAAAATAAAAATATCTGAAAATAAAAAAGAAGTTATTATTAGTGTCTTTAGGGGTGATAGTATAGTGGTTATGTTTTTAAACTATATCTTAGAAATGCATATTGAGATGTAAATAATAGGATACTTGAAGTTTGCTTTAAAATAATTAGAAGAGTCAAAAACATAATCAGAAGAAAAGGTTATAGACAAAATAAGGTGAATCAAGGTTGATAATTGCTGAATCCAGGTGATGCATGTAAGATTTGTTAAATTGTTCCCTCTAAGACATGAGATTGTCATGTTTCGTATGAAACGTTAAAGAATAAATTTCGTTTAAATGTAAATACAATTTTCTTTCCATGTCAGTCTAAATAATGCACACCAAAAATTTAACTCTCCTATCCTTCACTTTTCCAAACTTCCTGACTTCTTGGCATTTATATTTCCACATTTTTCTGTATTTATTAATCTACATGAAAGTGTCTGTATTAGTACTAGATGTTGGCATTTGTTCCCCCTCTTTCCCATTTCATTAGAAATTCTGTGAAGGCAGAAAATCATGTTTCTTAGTGCTTTTCTAGGTATTCCCACAGGCTGGCTCATCTAATGTTTAGTTGGTCATCAACTATGAGGGTACTTCAAAAGGCTCACGGAAAATAGAGTTAAGAAACAAGCTTATTTTGATTCAAACAGTTTCAAATCTTGGATACTTACATTTAGTGATTGGTTATATGTTCTTCAGTGGCAGGCTAAGTACAATGTCAGTAAGATTTTAAAATTCTCACTAAAGAGTCTGAAAAGAAGCAAGAAACTTGTCACTTCTCAAAATTTATTTTAATGAACCCAAGCAAGTCTGAAATTATTGTGTCTTTATTACTTAGAAACCGACTTTGATCCAGCTGAATGGGGGGCTAAAGTAGAGGACCGCTTCTACAACAATCGTGCATTCCAGGTACAGTCTCACAAAGCTACTGGGTTTGGCTATTTCTTCTCCCTACCCACAAAACAGAATATTAGGGTATCCCAAGAACAGTAAGAACTACGTGCGGTGTCACACATAACCTACTGAATCTGTTTAGTCATGCCATTTTTCTGATGATAAATTATTTTCTAAGGTCTCTGAATCATGTCATTTGCTCAAGTTTAAAGGTTAACAGGGGAAGGGTACCTTAAAAGTTTTCCATCATTTATTCTTCCACTTTTAATTGAGTATCACAATGCTTCAAAAAATAGTAGTCAAAAATTCCTGTTGTATTAATATCTTTTTTTCAAATGATTTATTTTATTTTATTATTGGAAAGGCACAGAGAGGAGAGACACAGAGAAAGATCTTCCATCCTCTAGTTAACTCCCCAAGTGGCCGCAATGGCCCAAGCTGAGCTGATCCAAAGCCAGGAGCTGGGAGCTTCTTCTGGATCTCCCATACATGTGCGGAATCCCAAGGCTTTTGGACCATCTTTTACTGCTTTCCCAGGCCACAAGCAGGGAGCTGGATGGGAAGTGGAGCAGCTGGGACAGGAACTGGCATCCATATGGTATCCTGGCACATGCAAGGCAAGGACTTTGGCCGCTATGCTATCGCGCTGGGCCAGAATTAATATAAAACACTTAAGCAACATATCAAAGACAGACTTTCTCAACCAAGGGTCCTGCAAAACATTAACCCCTAAAGCAAATTAATCTTAAACTGTTGCATGTTAACAAATCAGTGTCTTACCTTTGTGTCTAAAATGATTGTAATTCTATGCTATCCTTGGGGGAATTGAGAAACACCTAACACATTTCTGTGTTCCTGGTTCAGATGAGGAAGATTGTTTGGCAAGGGCTGTGCAGAAACAGCACGTGAAAACTGATGGAAATGTAAAATCTGGGACCCTGCCCCAGTCCCATAAATCAGTTGCATTTTAATAAGATCCCCAAAGTTAATTTGAAGGTACATTGTAACTGAGACCATTAGACAAGCCAGATGATACCAATAGTCATGCTATCTGAAAAAGAAGTTGGCAAAGTCCAGGTTTTGGTGGGTCCTCGGTACATTTTAGGGGGTTTCCTGAAGCAGTTGTAACTCATTCTGTAAATTTAAACGTGAACTCATTTCTATCCACTTGTAATCCTACAGATATGGAGATGGCCTATCTTATTTCCTGTGTGTTCATATTTTGATCCATATTGAGTTGAAATCAAAGGATTAAAGTAGAAAAATTTTCAATCCTTGTATCACATAAACATTTGAAGCACCTTTTTCTTCTGAATTCTGAAGTCTTTGATCAGCTTATACTGCCCTTAAGTTTCTGTCTTGGGTGTGAAAGAGGCTCTCCCCTTGGGGTGGGGTGCTGAGTTAGTGGAACCTCTATTTTTGGAGGAAGGCTTCAATAGTCATGTCAAAATAGGCAGACCTGATTTCTTCTTTTATACTTAAATAATTTCCTACAGCAGAAATCACTTCTTTGACCTGATTTCAAATGCACAAACTTCATCAGAAAGTGAACTTGATGTCAGGCAGTTAACCTAGCGTTCAAGATAATCTTGTCTGAGGCACGAGAGCTCAGTACCCACCTCCGGTTCCCAGCGCTTGCTTCCTGCTGGTGCGGACCCCAAGATGCAATGGTGTCGGCTTGATTACTCAGCTTCTTGTCTCTGGCTGGAGACGATTCTGTTCCTGGCTCTCAGCCTCAGCTGGCCCCGTTCCAGCCCCTGCAGGAATTTGGGGAGTGAGCCAGAGCTTGGGATGAGCTCACTCACTTGCTCTTTCTGACTCTCTGCCTTTCAAATAAAAAATATCTTTTCAAGTCAACTCAACTTCACACGATGGCACACAACGGGATTCATTTTATTTCTATCTTAGAAATTATTGGCACCACTTTTTTACGCTTTTCTCAGGATTCATTACAGCATCCTAACAACTTTTAGTATAAGTATTTCTTTTTGGTTTTTGTTTTTGGGATTTTCTTACTGTAAAACAACAGCACACAATTACTTGGTCTTATATTTGTTTATATAAGCTTATATTGAGAATTTTCATTTATTTTGTTCATGTCGCATCCAGTGAACTTTCCTTGTTAATAAACATGTGTAATTTCTTCCACTTTTGAAAACTTTAATGTTTAATTACTCATACGCACTTTATTGAAAACTTTGGTATTTTAGACACATTGCCTTTCTGGCCCTCTCCCTTCTCTCTAGGAACACGAATGTGAGAAAAGTGAATTGCAAGAAAAGTCTCCATCTGTGACCGAGGAAGAGACACCAATCATGAGCTTAGTATGTAATGTTTTCCGTGTGTGTTTGAGTCTTTTTTTAAAGCTTATTTATTTTTATTGGAAAGTCAGATATACAGAAAGGAGGAGAGACAGAGAGGAAACTTCCTTTCAATGGGTTACTCCCCAAGCAGCCACAACAGCTGGAACTGAGCCAATCCGAAGCCAGGGGCCCAGAGCTTCTTCCAGGTCTCCTATGTGGGTGCAGGGTCCCAAGGCTTTGGGCCGTCCTCAGCTGCTTTCCCAGGCCACAAGGGCGCTGGATGGGAAGCAGGGCCGCTGAAATTAGAACTGGCGCTCGTATGGGATCCCAGCACGTTCAAGGCGAGGACTTTGGTCGCTAGGCCATCACGCCAGGCCCCATATGTATTTGATTCTTACTAAGCATAACAGAGTGGATTTTGAAAAAAATGGAGATAGAACTTAATCTGGATTAATTCCTACTAGACTCATAGGGGTTATGTGGCTTGGTCAATGTAGGTAATTTCATTTCTCTCTGTTGTTCATTAGACACTGTATCTGTTACCAGCAAAGAAACCTTTACTATAATTAAGGATGGTTTAAAGTGCAGAACTACATTTTTTCTTCCTGATGGTAGGTTCCTAATTATCAAAGATAAATTAGCCACCTCACCTTCTGTGCAAGTGAAGAAAAAATACACACACCCTGGGGAAAGAACAGCCAGCGGGACTGAGCTTGCCCTCATCGTTCAGTGGAGGGGGGATGGGAAAAGAATAAAGAATATTACAGGTCCCAGCGCAATAGCCTAGTGGCTAAAGTCTTCACCTTGAATGCGCTGGGATCTCATATGAGCACCAGTTTTAATCCCAGCAGCCCCGCTTCCCAACCAGCTCCCTGCTTATGGCCTGGGAAAGCCTTGGGACCCTGTACCCACGTAGAAGACCCAGAAGAAGCTCCTGGCTCCCGACTTCGGATCAGCCTAGCTCTGGCCATTGTGGTCTCTTGGAGAGTGAGTCATCGGATGGAAGATCTTCCTTTCTGTCTCCTCCTCTCTGTATATCTGACTTTCCAATAAAATAAATAAATAAATAAATCTTTTTAAAAATTATATTGCGTATTTTTTAATTATATATGAATAAATCTATTATCTGTATTTTGAAAACTACAACTTTGCCTCCAAGATAAGTAACATCAGTGATAAATGATACGGTTAATCGGTTAATCATTTAATCCATGCTTTTGAGTGGATTGTAAATCTCCCTCTGGGAAGGGCAGTCAAAATTTACAGCCACAGTTCTGATCTTTGACAGTCATCTTCGACTTTAGGAACTTCTCACTGACTCATGATGTCACCACCAGACAATGGCAAAGGTTCAGGACTAACAAAAGGAAAATCACAAGAGAAATGCAGGTAGCCAAAAGAAACGTTTTTGCCCAGTTCGGCTCATTCACCATCCACGCACACTCTATCCCATGTCGGTCCTCCTGACAGCCTGTGCCTCAGCAGCTCCGACCTGGGAAGCTCATCCCCAAAGGTTTTGTGTCAGGTGGCATGCTGAGCCGACTCAAGACAATTGTGCCCGTCTCCATGCATCTCCGTGTTAATATCTTTTTAATAGCTTGAAATCAGCCACAGTGGGAGTATCAGGGCCATGGCAAACGGCACAATGACAGAACTTTTTTTTTTCCTGGAGAATCAGTTTTTAAACATTTATCATAACGCTGTGTGTAATCTTCATAGTCCAGACACAAAGATCAGGCCTGGTGAGAAAGGACTTCCTCTCTACAAGGTTTTTCCTTCCAACACTGCAGCTTCTTCCAGAGCCACCTGCATACAAACCAACAGGCCTCACACAGGTGTAGGATGGAACGGGGAGACGGAGGGAGCAAGGGTGGGTGGGTCATCTCCTTAGATCATTTACAGGTGCCCATGCACAGGCTTTCTTGAGCTTCAGCTGCGATCTATTGATTTCCAATTTGAGTATAATTTATTTGCCTCCATCTGCGTCACTTCAGAGGGTTTAAAGCATTCTGTTTCCGTTTAAACTTTAAGAGCCAAATTTGCCATATTTCTTTGTAATGCGGGATTTGAGAAAAGGTTGAATAACCCGAAGGCCATCAGTGATAAATGTTGTGATAAACGAAGTAAATAAAAGGTCATCAATACAATGTTGTCACACACAAAAACATGAACAGAATAATAACATAGAAAAAGAAAATCAAAATATAGTGTTATATGGAAAAAGTAATTGAACATTGTGGGTAACAATCTGATTCTTAAAATTATATATACATAAATATATCAAAGTAAATATGTTTTATATATAGAAATTTTAGAAGGATTTGTGTATATTTATGCATATTATTATGGGTTACATATATATGTTAGAAGAAAAGGATTTTGGAAGGTAGAGGCAATTCACTGTCAGTAATATAGTTTTTTGAAATGTATAGATAGTATCATTTTTGATTAAAAAATATATAAAGAGCCATGTCTATATATCTTCTGTATACTAACTGTAAATTATATATAATTTTGTTTAAAAGAAGCTGTATGCTAAAGTTCAAAATTCAGCTAACAGTATTACATCAAACACTATTGGACTAAATCTAGATTTCTCTTTGGCACTCCACTTTAAATGTATCATTTGGATTAGCTATTCATTTGAAAATTAAGAGAACATTTTAATCCACTAATGTAGTCATGGTTATTTTGAAATAGTACACTCACTATTCTTAACATTTTAACCATGCTTCAAGGATTCTTATTGGTCTTCCCATCCCCAATAATGTTACTGCTCAGGAAACTGTCAAATAGGAACTATTTTTGAATAATAGAAGAAGTTGGCAATGATACTTTATTTCAGAGGCATATTGAAGAGTGACAAAACAAGATGTTTGCTATTTTGGCATTCACCATTTGGTGCATATACAACGTGACAATATATAAAATTCCTTAGGAAGCATCAGATCTTCTCAGATAATCGCATCCTAAATTGATTAAATATATGCATTTATTTTTTTTTTTGCACAGTTTAACATCTTGTATTTCCCACATGCTTTGGCTAAGTTCTTTGCATATAGTACATTTATTTTTGTGGCATGAAAAATGTGGGGTATTTAAGAAGCCTCTTAATTTTTTTCCTCCTCTCAATGAAGGACTCTGAAGAAAATAAAGATAAAAAGGAGACTGCTGCTGTCAAAATCCAGGCAGCCTTCCGGGGACACATGGCCAGAGAAGACGTAAAAAAAATCCGAACCAGCAAAGCAGAAGAGGAAACAGAGGGAGACAACTGAGGGTACTGGCTCTACCCCCTCCCCCCCAGAAGACTCAGGAAAACAACTCAAATCCATCGGTCTGGCTCTAATTGTCAGTTCTTTCCTTAGCAAGGGAGATTTGGTGTTACAAAACAGCATCAGTTACTGTTGTGGAAATCTGTCATAAGCATTTGTTCAATAAACATGCCATTGATACACTGCACTTGAGTTCTCTGAGTCATCAGTTTTTTTTTGTTTTTTTTTTTTTTTTACATTTAGAGACTGGATTTAGAGTTACCAGAGTAGGATATCTGAATTTTGTAGATGTCAGAGGCTGTGTGATCGGCCATTTCCTGCTGAATAAAGGGTCCGTATCACATACCTGAAGAGAACTTTACCTCCTGCTTCGTGCCCTTCAAGGGCAGGCTGCTTCGTGTGATGATTGCTTGAAGTTGTAACAAGATAGGAAGGCTAAGGCGGAACTCACTTGCTATGCATCCATCCAGTCATTGACTGAGCAAGTACTGAGCACACGCGTGTGGTGGCAATCACTAGTGAATATTTGTTCTAAGATTCCTGCAGTTTATAGCCTATTATGGTGTTGCTGTCTAAATTCACACACAACAAGACTAGCAATAATATCAGATTTTAAAAAAACAAAAGCTATCAGAGCATTTTGCTCTGTAGTTCTACAGCTAAAACTTCCAAAGCCTCTTCTTAAAATTATGTACACATATTTATTTGTGTGAGAGGCAGAGAGACAGAACCACCAACCCCGTTCTGCTGATCACTCCCCAGCTGGCTGCAGTGACAAGGGCTAGGCCTGGCAGGAGCCAGGAGATCCCTCCAGGTCTCCCAGGTGGGTGCAGGGACCCGAAGACGGTAGGTCATCTGTGCCTTTCCCAGGTACATCAGCAGAGGGCTGGAGTGGGCAGTGGAGCAGCCAGGACTCCAGCCCCACAGGTGACAGACGGCCTTACGGATCACACCACGGCACCAGCCTCAATTTAGATCCCCTGTAAGTCCTTTCCACCGTTCATAAAATCGAACAGAAGATATAGTTTCCTCCTCAATTTAGGGCCAGCCCCCAGCTTGATCTCTTGTGTAACAGTGTTTCAGGTAACCTCGTATGCTTGGGGGAGCTAAGCCTTAAAAGAATTTAAATCATTATCTTGAAAAATAAAACCCAGAGGCTTTTTGAAGATCTTTGAAGTGGTCCTTGTGCTCATGAGACCGAAGGTCTTAAAGGAACGCAAGTTTTGCAAACCTCTCAGGTGCTTTTTAAGCTGCTGTGCACAATGAACCTAACTACCTCCCTCGGCACTTGCTGATTTCATTTCAACCATTTCCATTTTAAGCCTTTTGTCATCCAAGGTTTGGAATAACGCTTTCTAACTGCCTCAAGTTCAGTGGAATAGACAAAAATGTCCAGAAGTCTGAGGGAAAACCTGGAAAACGGAAAAAAAAAAATACTAACAGAAATCAAGCTTGAGTTAACAGATTTATAAAAGCTGTGTTTATTTTTATTTAGAATATTGTGGCTCTGGGCCCAGTGCGATAGTACAGTGGTTAAAGTCCTTGCCTTGCATGCTCTGGAATCCCATATGGGCACCGGTTCTATTCCCAGCAGCCCTGCTTCCCATCCAGTTCCCTGCCTGTGGCCTGGGAAAGCAGTCAAAGACAGCCCAAAGCCTTGGGACCCTGCACCCATGTGGGAGACCCGGAAGAGTTCCTGGCTCCTGGCTTCAGATTGGCTCAGCTCCAGCCGTTGTGGCTGCTTGGGGAGTGAACCATTGGATGGAAGACCTTCCTCTCTGTCTCTCCTCCTCTCTGTATATCTGCCTTTCCAATAAAAATAAATAAATCTTTAAAAAAAGAATATTGTGGCTCTGCATTTGAAAGTTTCATCTTCTAGATTCAGGAAAACTATCCTGTGATTTCTATGGTGTACCATGCTTTGGTAAGATCTGGTTTTGTAAAGAAGAGATGAAAGTGCTTCCCTTTTCCCACTCTACTTCAGTCCTCTAAAATTCAAAAACTCCTTCGGGAATATTGGAATATTTGGCTTTTTTTTTTTTTTGCTTGCATGAGTTCAGTAAGAATCTTCTTGTCATAACAGAATATAGTTGGAAACATTAGCATATCTAAAAAATATGATCAGAATGCCTAGCTTCAAGGGTTCCCAGCCTTGCAATGAGTAACTTCTTTGTAAACCCTGAAACTTCATAAGTTAGGCACCATCGTTCTAAAATATATCCAGATATGCCTTGGACTGGCTTTCTAACTTTGAGAATTTTCTAAATCTGAAGTTATTCTTTGGAATAGCAACTTTCATTGTAACAAGTACAAATAGTCAACAAATTGTAATACACTTGCTGTTACGTTGTAATGATCTTCATTGTGTGTGAGATGCACGCTCTGTTAGGTTCTTGTTGGTCTTGTTGTATCTTTTCCTTTTATAAATATTCATTTATTTTGAAAAACAGAGTTGCAGAGGGAGAAGGAGAGATAGAGCAAGAGAGATTTCATCGACTGATTCACTTCCCAGATGGCTGCAGTGGTCAACGCTGGGCCACGCTGAATCCAGAAACCAGGAGCTTTACCCAGATCGCCCACGTGGGTGACAGGTTCCCAAGCACTTGGGCCATCTTCCACAGCTTTTCCCAGGCCTTAGTAGGGAGCTGGATTGTAAATGAAGCATCCACGAAACAAACTGAAACCCATATGGGGTGCTGGTCTGACAGGCAATGACTTTACCTGCTATGCTACAACACTGGCCTCCCCATCAATTTTCCTTTTTTGAGTTCTGTGCATATTGCTTGTCAGAATTCTACACATGGGCATGGGTTCGTGGCTCAGCTGCTCTATTTCCCATCCAACTCCTTATTTGTGAAAAGGCAGTCGAGGATAGCCCAAAGCCTTGGGACCTTGCACCCACATGGGAGACCTGGAAGAAGCTCCTGGTTCCTGGATTTGGATCGGCTCAGCTCCAGCCGTTACTGCCACTTGGGGAGTGAACTAGTAGACAGAAGACCTTTCTCTCTGTAAATCTGCCTTTTCAATAACAGAATAAATAAATCTTTAAAAAAGAAGGAAAGAAATAAAGAATTCTACACAAGTACAGTTCCCTGCAAGATAATGTTGGCCTGCACTTTGCTAGGATAACTTGCACCTGCAGAGCAACAGACAAAGTTAGCAAAGAGCTTCAGGTAAAGTCCGCCTCAGAACCACCTCTAAAACCCCCATCTTACTCAAATGTTGGTGAAACGGCTTTGACACCAACTCCTGGTCATTGGATGCATCCCTCCTGACATTGGGATGGTATTGGCAACCAGGTCAAATCCAACTTGGCAACAAGAGACTGTCAGAACCCAGCCACAGGGTGATTGATCAGTAGTTCTCTAAAAAAGATCTTCATCACAAATCAAAAATAAGAAGATGGGGGCACTGGTGTCAACCCTAAACAGAATTAAATAAAGCCAATAAATTGTAAAGGAAAGTCCTTACATGGAATTTCCTGATAGCCATTGTCACAAGAGGGTCTACTAGACTAGGTTCTCTAGCGAGAGACCCCATTTCAAAAGAGAGATGTTCACTAGATATGATGCTTGCGATTCCCACAGCTAATATTAGATGAGGTGTTAAGGAAGACTCTGACAATCAAAAACTCTGGATGTTGTCACCCAACACTGCCCTACATGTCTGAGAACAGCCACATGTGATATACATCAAGAGAAAGACAAGTTCCTTTTGGGCAGCCCTCCGTATGCTATCACTTCTGGCCAGAGACTGTCCTTGTTAAAGAAATTCTGGGGCTGTCATAGTGTGATGGGGAAAGCCACTGCCTGCAATGCAGGGATCTAATGTGGGTGTTGGTTAGAGTGCCAGCTGTTTCTTATCTGATCCAGTTCCTTGTTAATGCACCTGGGGAAACAGAAGAGGGTCCAAGTGCTTGGATCCCTGCACCCACATGGGAGACCCAGAATCTCCAGCCTCCTGCCTCCAGGTTAGTCCCACCCCGGCCATTACAGCCTTGTAGGGAGTGAAACAACAGATGGAATATCTCCCTCTCTCTCTGTAACTCTGCCTTTCAAATAAATAGAATAAGTTTTTCTTAAATTTTTTAAAGAATTTGTTTGTTTTTATTGCAAAGTCAGATATACAGAGAGGAAGATCTTCTGTCTGATGATTCACTCCCAAAGTGACCACAACAGCTGGTGCTGCATTGATCTGAAGCCAGGAGCCAAGAACTTCCTCCAGATCTCCCACATGGGTGCAGGGTCCAAGGTTTTGGACCATCTTCCAATGCTTTCCCAGGCCACAAGCAGGCAGCCGGATGGGAAGCAGGGCCACCGGGATTAGAACCAATGCCCATATGGGATCTCGGTGCATCCAAGCTGAGGACTTCAGCCACTAGGCTATTGCGTCGGGCCCAAGTAAGTTTTTAAAAGCAGAAACAATTCTCTAACCTTGAATGGCTGTAGATCTCCTTACAGCTACCCAAAGGTAAAGTTACGCCCTCATTAAACAGAATGTTGCATATAATATACATTTCTGATAATTCTGATCTTAAATCTGTGCCTCAGTTTGCTAGTCAACAAATGTTATAACTACGAGCAACAATTCAAATGGAAATAATGCTACAACTAACAACAAATATTTAAAATATAAAGTAAAAGAACCAGTTAATAGGGACAAGAGGTCAAAAGCAAGCTACACGCATAAGGACCTATCCCAGGTGGGGAAAATTAAGGAGTCATTGTCTATGAAATTTTGTTCCTAAAATGGAATTACTGAATACTTTAAACTGGAAAGGGAAAGGTAGAGCAAATAATTGAGAGAATATGTTATAGAAGTTTTGTGGAAATTAAGTGCTAAGTAAGATTAGGTTGGCTGAGATTAGAAGGAATTTGGAAACCCCAGGCTTGGTTTTTCATCTCACCAGTTGGAAAACTTGGCTTCTATTTCCTTTCCTGCCCCTGTTGATCCCACTAACTTCTCTCCTTTTTGCCCTAATTCTTGGGGCTTCTCTTTTAAACACGCAATCTCGGTTTATCTTCTCCAAAATACAGAAATACATTTTCAAGTAGTAATACAACAAAGATATCCACATCAAATTCCTCCAGACCAAACCATCTAAAGTCCTTTGGTAAATGCGAGCATATATATCCACAGCAAATCACCTGCTCTTCTCTGAGGTTCTGCCACTGACTGAATCCC